AAATAGGTACTTTTATTTCCTGATGAAATTAGGTACTTTTCCAAATTGCTGTTTTCCAAATTTGGGACTTATATTACAAATAGGTACTGAACATATTCTATCGATTTGGATAAGTACTACCTATTCAAATAGGTACTTTTCTAAATGAAAGTCTTCCACATCTGTTGGACTTTATTATTGCAAATCTGACCATATTCTACCAATTCAAATAGGTATCTACTACCTATTCAAATAGGTACTTTTCTTTCCTGATAATTACAGTTTTCCACATTTGTTGGACCTAATTATTGCAAATTTGAACATTTCTACCTATTTGGACAGGTCCTATTCAAATAGGTACTTTGCACCTATTCAAATAGGTACTTTTCCTTATGAAATTACCGTTTTCCACATTTGTTGGACTTTATTATTGCAAAGCTGACCATATTCTACCAATTTGAATTGGTACAACCTATTCAAATAGGCACTTTAAAATCTGTACTTTTCTTTCAAATTAGGTTTTCACTTTACACCTAATTCAAATAAGCACTTTATACCTATTCAAATAGGGTACTTTCCTTATGAAATTACCGTTTTCCACATTTGTTGGACTTAATTATTGCAAATTTGAACATATTCTACCTATTTGGATAGGCACTACCTCTTCAAATAGGTACTTTTCTACATATCTTTATGAAAACTTGTCTTCTACATTTGTTGGAAAAAAAAAGTATTTAGGTAAGGTACATACATACAAGAGATTTTACATAAATTGATCGAGTTATAGATAGAGCTAGTACATACAGTGCCTAAAGCCACTATTACGAAAAGCGTTTCGGGCAGGAAAAACATTAATGACTAAAACTTAATACTAATTGAGTATAAAGAATAAAATGTGTTGAGAACAAATAAAGATAAAGGGAAACATGGCTGAAAAAGCAGCACAAATACAATTAGGTAGACAAACAGCGTTGTTTAAGAAAACAGACATGGGTTGACAATAGAGAGGTAAGGTAGGTTACAGGGAATTTATTAGGTAATGCTTCATTTTTATCTTAAACTGGTTGAGAGGGGTACAGTCTTTAACATGGTAGGGAAGGTCATTCCACATTCTGGGACCCTTGATTTGTAGAGCATTTCTAGTTTAAGTCGAACTCTTGGAATATCAAAATTTATTTCTGGTGTGGTGCTCATGGGTTCTGTTACAACCTTCTATGAAACTTTTGAGGTAAGGATTGGCATTACAGTTCAGCATTTTATATATGTATAATACACGAGAGAATGTGCAGTGACTTAATATCTAACATTCAGAGATTTGAGTAGGGGTACCGAGTGATGTACAAATTTGTTCATGTACCTATTTATTATCACCATGGGAAGATTCATGGGCAACAAGGCGAGAGTCAGGGCTACAGGAAAAAGGACTCACACCTGAAACCTAACTCCAAGTTTACTGCATTACAAGGCACGTGTTGCCACCAATAGCATGTAGTTTTTTTACATCCTGTGCTTGTCCTGAGTGGGGTAGTGCAAGAAAACCAGCACTGAATGTTACGAATGAATGTCAGGACATTCAACAAGGATATGCACGACCGTAAGAGGGACAACGCAATTAGGACAATAAGGAGCAGGGCGGCGCTCCATCAAGTGAGAGTTAAGCGAGCATGGCCAACACGCAACCTCACCAGGGCCGTTTCCCATTGCCGGTTACGGTGGTAGGAGGACGGCCACGAGGACAACTTAAGAGAACGTAGTTTGTTACCAGTAACAGACGAACAACAAGCCTGCCAATGAGTAAGCCTTTTCCAGGTAAAAAAGGACAGCAACAACGGAGGTCTTCGCAGCAAAAGCAGTACGAATATAGACCAAGTTCACCAGGACATCTGTTGTGCTGCGGCACTTGTGGAAACCAAATTGAGAAGGGGAGAGGTGATGGTGTTCCAGGAACCACATCAGATAAACGTTAACCATACGTTCAAAGAGTTTGCAGACAATTTGTGAGGGCAATAGGGCGAAAGTCCTTAGAGGATGTTCCCAGAGACCCCGGTTTGCAAACAGGGAGGATAACGGCATCGAGCCAGTCCTCAGGGACTAACGACGACTCCCAGATTCGATTACACAGACTCGGTAAATACCGAGATGTGCACAGAGGGAGATGGCAAAGCATCTCAATGAATGCCATCGGAGCCCGCCGCCGTAGAAGTGCAGAGGGCCAGGGCAGAACAAAGTTCAGAGAGAAGGGATCGTTATAGGGAAGGCGAAGACGAGTACAGAAATCTAAAGGACGAGATTCAAGGACAGGTTTACAAAGAAGGAAAGATTGGGGAAGATGAAGACCATTGCTAACAAGAAAAGTGGGAACCCAGTTCGGTAGTGACCTGCAACGGGTCCGCCACAAGAGTACCACGGATGTGAAGGACCGGTGAAACATCAGGAACGAACTTGCCCGCTATCTTGTGGATACGCTTCCAGATATGTGGCAGAGGAGTTTCAGACGTAATGGAGGGAGACATAAGATGCCCAACATTCACGTTTAGCCGTACGGATGGCCCTACGGGCCACCGCACTTGCCTTCCGAAAGAAAAGAATCGGCCGTCTGGCAACGGCGGTGTGTCTTCCAGGCTGCACGTTTACAGCGGACAGCCCGAGCACAGTCTGCATTCCAAACCAGGGAATGCAATTCCGTGGACCCCGAGAGGAAGAGCGAGGAATAGAGCGGAGGGCAGCTTCAAAGACTCATGAAAAAGGAAGAGCGAGGGAGAGGCAGAAAGGAGAGGTCAGAGAGAGCAGCACTGAGGGTAAATAGGTTCCAGTCCGCTTTAGCAAACTGCCACCTAGGGAAGGAGAGGAGGGTGAAAAGAGAAAAAGGTAACAAGGATGGGGAAATGGTCACTACCATGGAGGTCATCAAGGACCTACCACGTGAAATCCAAGTAAAGAGAAGACGAGCAAAGAGAAAGATCAAGACAGGAAAGGGTACAAGTCCGAGAGTCCAAATGCGTGGGCTCACCAGAATTCGGAAGAGACAGGGAAGAAGAGAGGATAAATCGCTCAAGAAGGCGACCTCGGGTGTTCGTCAGAACATCACCCCAAAAGGAATGACGACAATTGAAATCACCCAGCAGGAGCACAGGCTCCGGCAAGGAGTCCAGTAGGCATTTCAGATCAGGAAGAGAAAGCGGGACACTCGGGGGAGATAAATGGAACAAATGGTGTACCATTTCCCCACAAAGATACGAGCGGCAGAACAATGGAGAGGCGAAGGAAAAAGTAAGGGGACAAAGGGAACAGAGCGAATCAAGAGAGCAGAAGAGTTAAGAGCCCCAGCAACAGCTAGGGAGGGGGGGGGGGGAGAGAAAGGAATAGCCCTGAAAATGACCAGGACGAGCACCAAGCATTGGCTCCTGGAGACAGACACAAAAGGGGGGAAAACCGCGAAATCAGAAGTTGCAGTTCAAGGAAATTGGCGTAATAACCTCGAACGTTCCATTGAATAGACCAATGAGAAGAGAAAAGACAACAACAGAGAACAAGGAAGAAACAAAGGCGAAAGAGCAACATAGCACATTAAAGAAGATCAGGGTCAGCAAAGTCAGGGTTAGGGGGCATTTGTAAACTGAGCAAAGACGGAGGGAAGAAAACGGGAGAACAGACCAGAGGCGGACGGGCGGGGTCCGGAGGAAGAGGAGACAACCGAGAGGAGCAGTCAAGGACAGCAGCAGGAAGAGGGGGGGGGGGGGGGGGGGGAGGAGAAAGAGGGGAGCGCACCTCAGCAAGGGCAGCAACCGAGAGGGAAGCGGGGGCCAAAGAAACCTCCATAGCAGGAACAGGGGGCACAACCACCGAAATGGGAGGGGAAGGAGTGAAAGTCAGAAGCAGGGGCCGAGGAAGAAAGCGAAGCCTTCTTACCCGCCGGGGAGGAGGAAGGAGAGGAGCCAGGCTTACGCTTCTGACTTAAAGAGACGGGTGTCCCAGCAACTACGTACTGGGCAACGGATTCCAGCATCTCAACAGGAGAAGCTGAACGAGAGCACACACGACGGCCATTAGGAGAGCGATGGACATCAGCCCGCACTGACAGGCAGCGGGGAGAGTCAATAGACGGAGGAGAAGGATGGGAAGGAGGATCGGAGAGAGACAAGGAAGAAGACACAGGAGACATGACAGACCAGGTAGAAAGAAGGGGCACCCCAGACAGAGGACCAGGAGGGGGACCCTTCGGGACAGAACTCAAAGGAACAGAGAGGGGCAGTGGGCCTATCAGGGTCCAAGGCCCGGAAACGGTTATGAGTCTGAGGAAGGTGGGAAGGACGAGGAGAGGAAGAGCGCAACACGCGAGCATAAGAGACGTTAGCATAAGGTGGGAGCCGGCGAACCTGGCGTCTTGCCTCAGGAAAAGATAAACGCTCCCAGTGCTTCAAGTTGAGGACGGCTGCCTCAAGCTTGTAATGGATACACGCATGGGAGAAGGTAGGATGGGCCTCACCACAGTCGAGGCACCGAACCTGGGAAGAAGTGCACTCCGACTTAGAGTGACCTTCGCCCCCACACAAAGGACAGACACAGTCCCAGAGCAGCGGAGGGCAACATGCCCAAACCTCCAGCACTTGTTACAGAGCCTAGAAGAAGGAATGTACTCCTGGACAGAGCAGTCTGGCACCAGTAAGAATGACAGAGGATGGAAGGGTCCTACCATCAAAGGTAATCTTCACAACCCGAAGGAGATGACGGTGATGACCATGAGGGGGGACGAGTAGGCCCGAAACGCTTTGCGTAATAGTGGCTTTAGGCATTGTATGTACTAGCCCTAACTATAAATCCATCACTCTTTGTAAAATCTCTTTTATGTATGTACCTTACCTAAATAAACATTTTGATTTTTTTTTTTTTTTTTTTTAGTAAACGAGTCTACCTGGAGGACAAAATGGATTTGGGCATCAAGGATATGCCGAATATCATCGTGGCAGTCCTGCAGATTCCGAACACTGGTCACAACATGGGGCGGGAGGAGAATAGTGCCAACACTGGCATTCAACCGAGCGTTCTTTGAGACCCGAACAGGGATCTCGCCAAGGCAGGATAAGGCAGCCAAGCGGGAAGCTACATCCTGAGAAGGAGCAGCAACGACACGTGTACCGAGACGAGTGGAGAGACAACCAAGTGGCCCTGCCAATTCTAAAGGAGTGAGGGGCGTAATCAGCTGGAGGCGAGCCTAGCACTGCGATGGCGGCGCGAAGCATCCTGGAGAAGTCTTGCCTGGTCACTGGGGCACGGGCCGGGCTTGGCCCCAGGCTAGGGTAGGCGTGCGTCCCGCACTGTGCTTGTAGGATCCGAAGATAATGTCTATTCTTGACCATGTAAATGATACCTGATCCAGTCAAAGCGTGTGTCGACCTTTTGCCGAGTAGATCACCTTTCCCGGGCTGAAAGTAATAAAGCAGTAAGGGTGGGCAGAAGCGGGCATGCAGTTGTAACATGACAAGCAAAAACTCGGTTGAGAGGGGTAAACCCTATCTGAATTAATATGGAGGAGACCTAGCTAATAAGGGTAGTGCAGGAGATTGGCATAAGAGGGAGGGAGGGGGGTGCCCTGATGCAGGATTTAAAAAGATTCCTTAATTAAACAATCCTGGATGAAACCCCAAATAGAAACATTGGCACAGAAAACACTGGGGGAGGAAGGAGAATAAGTTTGTATAATAACTATACTGCAGCAATGTAAGGTAGCTAACAATTCTAATGAAACTTTCAGTGAAACGAAGGGAGCGAAATACCGTTGCTAGGAATAAAGGCAGGATAAGATAGCCAGAAGTAAATCGGCAAGGGTGGCTCAAAACAAATACAATCGGTTATAATATAATACACAATCATAATATATAATCAATACATATACCATAGAACGGATATATAATATTAAGTCAATATATAAACAATAAATGGAATATAAGAAAGCAATACGTTAAGGCATATCTGTAACATGCTTGTGTCCGAAGCGCGACAAATACAACAAATTACTGTACTGTACTAAGTATGGAAGCGGGGAACATTACCCTTGGTCTCCATCTCATGTTGGCCTCCAAATGGATGATAGAGCTGAAGAGAAGCCAAGGAATCTGCCTTAAGTAGCCATCGAGTGTAGCCTTGGATTGTCAATGAGCATCCGAGAGCAGCAGCTGTACACCGAGAACTTTGGTTACATCTTGTAGAACGGGTGCAAAGTTAAAGCGACGCCAAGGAACTAGTGATCAGTAACTGTAATAAGAATAATATTAAGAATACAAAGTAATATTGTAAATAATATATGACGGCAAAGTGCCACAGAGTAGATGAAATTATGGTATGGCGTCGCTTAGGAAAGCGACGTCATACCGTAATAATAATTTATGCTCATAATAAAATACTGAAATAACAGTAATGATACGGATTAACATTAATACTGTAATATAGCACAGTAAATAAGAGATATATATATACTCTGTCCCATCTCCCGTAAAGGTATTCCTTATTCCAACTTTTACCCAGTTATTCATTCCTCCATCCTTACCTGTTGGCGAGATTGTTGGTCTTCTGTTACTGTAACAAACTGCATACTCTTAAGAGTAGTGTGTCCTCATGGCCGTCGTCCTGCCACCGTAACCAGCGATGGGAAACGGCTCTGGCGAGGTTGTGTATTGGCCATACATGCTTAACTCGGTCACTTAATGGAGCGCCGCCCTGCTCCTTATTGTTCTGACTTCCAGGACGAGCATGTGTCTTGTTTTCCGACCGTCCTTCACGGTCACTTGTCCCTTGATAGAATTCTTGGTGAATTGGACACTTTCAATATCAGACACCTTATCCATTTCTGTTCTCGTATTGGCATTCTTGGTGATATTTAGCGCCCTCTGATTATTCCACACATTTGATGGTGCTACATAGCCATCCGGGTTTGGTGCATTCTTTTGATAATTACTTACTTCCTGTCCCCCAACACAGTGAATTATATGTACCCTGTATCACCACATACTCCGTACCACCACAAGTACTATGTACCAGCACAAGTATTCTTTACCCCCACATGTACTCTGCACCTCACCCTCAAACAGCTAATGGGTATTGGGTAATATATGTTAATCAATTTAGTATACAGTTCGTGCATCCTGGGAATGGTCAGTAATTCAACCTTGTGGAACACACAGCACAGAGACCTTGTGGGACTGAGCACACTGCTCCAAATTTAGCTGAATCTTTCACCCGTAAGGAGGGAATTGATTACCAACTCCGATTGCCTTTGAGCAGCAATATTCCAAGAAAATCAAGAAAATCTAGTTGATTTGAGGTAAAGTTAAGTAGTAATAATTATTAGTATTAAAATTATTAAGATTTATAGATCACCTATGGTAGGTATACATAGCTACCACCTATGGCTCCTTATTTTAGTATTTATTTTATGGGATGATTTTTAAGGCTTAATAATTAAGATTGTAATGAAGTTGTTGGCAAAGATGATAGCTGTTGACGGATGAATACTCTTTACTAAAATAGTTTATTCTTTACCGAAAATAGTTAAAAAAAAAAAAAAAAGTTATAGGTCTCCATTTTGTGTTGGCTAATGTTTCAACCCATAATTTAAACCACTATTCTACAGTGCATCCTGTTAAAGGTTAGCACTTGGGAGAAATCTTGGTGCTTCTCAGTAAATTATTACATATAACATACGACTGCCTCTGCTCTTGACCACATCTCGACTAACATACCCTCTCCATTTAGTTCAGGGATAATCACTGATAGGACCACAGACTATTACCCCATATTTCTCCTAACCAACATTTATAAACCACCTCTAGATACAATGAAGATAAGCTTTAGGCTGCACAGTCGAACTTCTATAAGCAACTTTATTGCTGCTGCTAATATCAACTGGGAGACTAAGGTAACTTTAGAGAATTAGGCAACATAGTGAACATTAACCTAGCAGTGCAAACATTTCAAAAAAATCTAGAGCCTCTCTAACACCCACTGTCCAATGCTAACAAAATAAGTCACAACTAAAAGGTTAAACAATCCACGGCTTACAAAGTGTATACTTAAATCTATCGATAAAAAACATGACCATGAGAAGAAATATAGGTTAGGAGTTGTTTTGAAAGAAGTTTCAAAGATTTACTCATCAATGTTGTCTAAAATAATTTGGAGAGCCAAAATAAAATACTACGAAAATAAATTTAACCAAATTAAGGGCAACATTAAGAAAACCTGGAGTACTATTTCCCAAATATTAGGATAAAAAAATATTTTGAATATAAAATCAATACTCATATCCAATGACGATGGTGTGCTTTCAGCCTCTGACACTGCTATTGAATTCAATAGTTTCTTTTCATCCATTGGCACATCCCTTGCTAGTGATTTCACTGATGTCAACAATTTCACTTTTATCAATTCTGCCAACCTTGTAAAAAATATTTGAGAAGCTAATCTATGAGCGGCTGTACTCTTATCTAGCTAAACACAATATATTTAGCTCTTGCCAATATGGCTTCAGACCCAAAAAAGAGCACTAAGATGCACTGATTAGCATGATTAACTAGATATATGCAGCTCTTGATAAAGGTGAATTCCCAGTTGGGTTATTTGTTGACCTAACATAAGGCCTTTGATACTGTCAACCAACACAAGGTTTTTAAATTACATTGTTATGGAGTCAGAAGTCACTCCCTCCAATACCTTCAATCTCTTACCTCTGTGACAGGCTCGAGTATGTTTTTCTGAATGATTCCACTTCTCCAACCCTTCCCATCAACATTAGTGTTCCACAGGGCAGAATACTTGGCCCTCTCCTCTTTCTCATCTACATTAATGACCTTCCAAATGCATCTCAACACCTCAACCAATTTTATTTGCTGATGACAACCTTCATTTTCTTCAGTTCTAACACAGTTCTATGATAGTGAATACTGAACTAAATAAAGTCCACCATTGGCTAACTGCTAACAAACTCACCCTTAACGTTGACCAAACCTATACTGTATTTTGTTTGGTAATAAATCTTCAGATCAAATTAATCTAAGAATAAACAATATACAAATTAGTAACAAAGTAGATAGTAAATTCCTTGGTGTTTTCATTGATAAGCTGAATTTCCAGGGCCACATTCAACAGAGCAAGAAATGTTTCTAAAACTGTCGGCATTCTTTCCAAGATCAGATATTATGTACCTTGTCCTGCCCTGGTGATGCTCTATTATTCTCATCTATCCTTATCTCAATTATGATATTTGTGCAAGGGGTTCTACTACCCAAAATCATCTACGTCCTCTAATTACTCTACACAAATCTGCTATTAGAACAACAAACAACTCTGTCCCCAGACAACACTCGGTACTCTTACTTAAATCTTTGAATATGTTAGATATTAAGTCACTGTACATCCTCTCAAGTGTACCCTATATATTTAAAACTCTCGAACTGAAATGCCAATCCTGACCTTCAACGCTTCCTAGAAGATTGTTCAACCCCCTGCAAGAGCTCAACCCCGCAACAGAGCTCAACCCCCTGCAAGAACAACTAGGAGAGTACAACTAGGTGAATACATATAAATTGTGACACTAGCTCTCCACATATATCAGTTGCTTAATTTAGAAACTGTACTTGTGGTCAGTCTTGAGCCCATTGTTGATGTGAAGATGTGCATTGAATTTTGTAACTAGCTCATCAAGACTAACCTGCTTAGCTAAATGAATTATGGGGTTTAGTCCCTGAGCCCATTATGTGCCTCTGTAACCATTTCCACTACTGCTCACAAGATGGGTATGTGGTGCATAATAAATGAACAAAAAAAAAAAAAAAACATATGATTCAAATGTACAAATGGATGAAAGGTAACCTAGTGGTTAACCTAGTACAAAAGCTATGACAAGTTTTGTAATAATAGGCATTTGTATGGTCACCACAGTAACCGGACCAGGCAACGTGATATAGTCATTGCAAGAATTTGCCTTGGCTATAGACACATCTGGTAGGTTAGTGAGGCTGAGCCACTACCAGAATACTCAGATTGTAAACTCTGTAATAAACCTTTAATGCACTCACTAAAACAGTATATTGTTGAATGTGAAACCATAAAAGATTTTAGGCCTCCTATACCACCAACTATGTAGCTATTTCATTGACTCAGGTGTTCTGGACGACATCCTGACAATTTATCCAAAATTTGCTTGTCCATTTTAAAGAATGAAGAACAATTTTATTTATATTACTTCTAAGCTGCATCACTTATGAACCCATCCCTGCCCTTGTGTGGCAGTGGACAATAGAAAGTTGTTTTCTCATATTCATACATTAAAACATTGATTGTAACCATGATATATATGTGCTTCAGCCTACAGTTTAGACTTATTGTTTTGTGTATGACCCTCTGTCTTGCGTGACAGTGAATACCAGCATTATCCTCATTCTAATAAGACTTAGTTGAAATCCTCAGATTAGGCAAAATTGTAATTAATTTTGCCATTAAAGATGTTAATAATAATAATGTACTCCAGAATCTAATTTACAACACCACTTTTATAAACTTCCAAACCATTATACTCTTTCTAATGTACTGTACTACTATGACAACACTTATAGACTCACCTTCTCATTGTGAGGAAGACCACAAACACTATCCAGTAAAGTGTGATATTCACTGAAGTATTCTTTCAATTTTATTGGCTCTTCTGTTACCCAACCACAATTCTTCATGTTATGAATATTCTCCATGATAAAAATATGATTTCTTCCTTTTTTTGTTTATTTTACTGCAACAACTCTGCAAAGACAAAAGTTATTTTACATCATATATTTCATTCCTTATATCAACATTACCCAGTTTCTCCCTTTATGGGGTGGATACAGTTAATACTGAAAATTTAGGGTTCTGAGGCTAGGTAATGATGATACGGTTACTAGCTATCAGCTGGGATTTCTCTCTAGAAGAGTTTGCAAATAAGAGATTATTTTTCTTCTGCTGTATCTTGCTCTTGTTAGGATCCATTTAGATGATGCAATTCAAATTTTGGTTGCCACACTATAGAAAGGACAATTTAAGGTCCTTAAATGAGGTAAACAAAGGTTGATCAATTTAATGCCAGGGATTAGAAGGATGAAGAAAGCTTAAATTACATTCTCTATAAAGGCCAAGAGTTAGGGGGTAATATGACTGAAGTGTGAACAAAGAAATCACATTAATGTGATGAATCACCGAGAAAATCAGTGGAGCCATGAGAGGATTTGAGCCTATGTTCTGGATACTTCCAGGCACACACCTTAAACCACTACACGACGACACAATAAAAGCAAAGCAACCTAGGTTTCAACTAAATCCTCTAGGGGTTCTGAGGTTTCAATTGATGCCAAATTAAGGTTTTAACACATTGCCTGTATGAACTCTGGGTGTGACTAGGCGTTCACATCCAATACTTCTCTTGAAATGCACAAAGAAATCACACTAATGTGATTTCTTTATAAGAGGCTGCTCCTAATGGCCAATAAGAGCTGTGTCGTATAGGCTAATAAGCCTTCTGTAGTGTCCTTTATTTTTACCTGACTATTGTATCAGCAGCCATTTTCCTACCAGACTTCCAGCTCCACAACCATGCTCTTAAGTTTAACTGATAATTAAATGGATATAAATTCTTCATATCCAAAACAATTGTCTACAAATTTTAAAACCTAACCTCCTTCATCGTCATTACGATTGTTATTTTATTTACTTATTTATTTATTTATATATACAAGAATTCTTACACTCTTGTACAAATGTAATGTCCCGCCAAATCGTTTAACAACCAGGTACCCATTTCACTGTTGGGTTAAACAGAGGATACAGTTAAGGATTTGTGCCCAATAAGCCCCCCCCCCCAGCCAGGATACAAACCCAGGACAAAGCACTAATGAAATGCCAGGCAAGCCTCTAACATTACGCCATGGGAGCCACCACGGGGATGTGCAGTTTGCATGATGGTTTTCTTCTGATGACTACACGAGTGGTGATGTTGAGACGCATCACAATGACATGCCAGGGTTTATAGCTTGGCAAGTCCTAACCTTACCCAGCCTATCCTAAGGTAACAGCCTAACAAGAAATATTTTTTAGAATTGGATCGAGTTCTTAGTTCAAATAATAATTATAATAATTTAATTTAGTTCTCGTAGTCATTTAGTTTAATTTAGTTAACAGTCCCTGTGGCACAGAGGTAAGACACTCGTCTGGCGTTTCGCAAACACTTTGTCCTGTGTTCATGTCCTGGCCGGAGAGGATTTACTGGGCGTCAATCCTTAACTGTAGCCTGTTTACCCAACAGTAAAATGGCTACCTGGTTGTTAAACAATTTGGCGGGGTCGTATACTGGGGAATATTAGGATTAGGGACTTGCCAGAAATGCTACTGTACTAGTGGCTTTACAAGAATGTAAGAACTCTTGTATATATAAATAATAATAATAATAAATTGTATTATTTATTTAATTTATTTATATATACTGTATATACAAGAAGGTACATTGGGTTTATGAGAATACGTAACATGGTGTATTTACATTCTTGTAAAGCCACTAGTACGTAGAGCATTTCGGGCAGGTCCTTAATTAATCTAACAGATAATATTAAGTTGGTAATTTCTAGCAAAATTTATAAAATGTTAACAGGTACATTGTAAGAAAATTTGACAAAGGTTAGTAGGCACATTAAAGCACATTAATAGCTCTGATTGATAGCGCTGATAGCTTGATTGATAATTTGACAAAGATTAGAAGGCACATTAAAGCACATTGATAGCACATATAAGATGACAGCAATGATCACCATGGTAAAGTTGTATGGCTTAGGTACATATATATTGAGGAATTGAGTAGCACACAATGTGTGTTCAACAACCATGATATAAGATGATCACAATGGTAAAGTTACATGGCTTAGATACATATATTGGGGGATTGGGTAGCACTAGATACAGTGTGAGTTAAAGCACTAGGTAAGAAACTATGAAAATGAAATTAGGTTTTTTTTTTTTTAAATAAGGCAAAAGTTGGACAGTTTTTCAATTTGTTAGGGAGTGAGTTCCATAGACTAGCTCCTTTTATTTGCATAGTGTGTTTACACAGATTAAGTTTAACTCTGGGGATATCAAAGAGATATTTATTTCTGGTGTGGTGATAATGGGTCCTATTACATCTGTCCAGTGAAAGTTTCAGAGCAGGATTTACATTTAAGAACAGGATTTTGTAAATGGCACATTAGACTGTGTGGAGTGAGGTTATGTTTAGCATGTTTAGGGATTTAAAAAAGGGGGGCCGAGTGTTTGAAAACAGATTTTGTTACTGTTCTCATAGCAGATTTTTACTGGGTGATGATGGGCTTGAGGTGGTTCGCAGAGGTTGAACCCCATGCAGATATACCACAAATAAGATCGGGATAAATTAGTGCATAGTATAGTGAGAGGAAAGCAGAGTTAGGTACATAATATCTAACTTTAGAGAGTATACAAACTGTTTTAAAGACTTTCTTAGTTATGTGTTGTATGTGGGTGCTGAAGTTGAGTCTCTTGTCTAAGTATAGGCCAAGGAACTTTCCATCATTTTTATTGCTGATGTTAACATATCTTAAGCTGTACTGCATTTGTTGATTTACTTCCAATAAATAATAATAATAATAATTTATTTAGGAAAAGTACGTACATAGTTGCAGAGTTACAGTACAAACATTGATTTAAAGCGGTCCGTCTAATTACCACAAGCTACACAAGCTTTAGAAAGCTTATGTTAGTAATGAATAAATATGATATATTTACTCATTATAATGTTGGTGCTGAATGTACAACACGAGAAAACAATTTTAATCTGAAAGTCTATTTTTATTAAGAAATTAGACGAAAATAAAGAGCTGGTGACGCCAAATAAAGTCGACGATCCAAGCGTCAGTTAGGTTAGGTTTGGTTAGGTTTGGTTTGGTTAAGTTAGGTTAGGTTAAGTTAGTTAGGTTAAGTTAGGTTAAGTTAGGTTAAGTTAGGTTAAGTTAGGTTAAGTTAGGTTAGGTTAGTTTAGGTTAGGTCAGCCTAACCTAACCTAACATTTATTCATTACTAACGTATTGCCAGGAAGCTTTGTGAAGCTTGTGTAGCTTGTGGTAATTAGACGGACCCATTTAAAGATAGAGGTAGTACATACGATACCTAAAGCCACTAGTACGCATAGCGTTTCGGGCAATAAATAATAAACTACTGTTCTTCCCTACAATAGGCACCAGAGGCAAGGTTTCCCTAGAGTCTATGCCAACTTCTGACTTTCCTAGGCTGTAACCCTCAACAATTGCCTAACACCTAGATACCTGTTGACCAGACAACACACTAGAAGTTGAAGGGACGACGACGTTTCAGTCCGTCCTGGACCATTATCAAGTCTATTGTGATGAGGAGATTGATTGATTGATAAAGATTAAGCCACCCAAAAGGTGGCACGGGCATGAATAGCCCGTAAGTGGTGACCTTTTTAAGCCATTTCCAGTATCAAGAGCTGATACTGGAGATCTGTGGAGGTGCGAATGCACCCTGCATGATGGGAGATGTCTCCCTTGTGAATGTGTTAAGATGAAGATGAAGCCACCCAATAGGTGGCACGGGTATGAATTGGTAAGTGGTGGCCCTTTTGAGCCATCACCAGTATCAATAGATGATACTGGAGATCTGTGGAGGTGCGACTGCACCCAGCGTGACGGGAGATGTCTCCCGTGTTTTAAACAGATGAAGATGAAGATGAAGCCACCCAAAAGGTGGCACGGGCATGAATAGCTCGTAAGTGGTGGCCCTTTCGAGCCATCACCAGTATCAAGAGCTGATACTGGAGATCTGTGGAGGTGCAAGTGCACTCTGCGTGACTGACGGGAGATGTCTCCCATGAATGTGTCCAAGATGACGATTAAACCATCCAAAAGGTGGCACGGGCATGAATAGCCCGTAAGTGGTGGCCCTTTCGAGCCATTACCAGTATCAAGAGCTGATACTGGAGATCTGTGGAGGTGCAACTGCACCCTGCGTGACGGGAGATGTCTCCCGGACCAAGTGTGTGGACTGTGTGTGTGATGAGGAGGTAGAGACAAGCAATAAATAGGCAAGAGAGAGCTGAGGAGGAAAGTAAGGTGTAGGGGAAAGTAGTATTAATGAGAACTGCAGGCCTATTAGCCCATACGAGGCAGCTCCTATTATAACCACCGAAGGAGAAGTAATAGCAATAAAAAGAGGATAGCAAGGGAGCGTAGGAGACAATGAACAGAAAAAGGGTGAACCTAGATACCTGTTAACTGCTAGGTGAACAGAGGCATATGGTGAAAGGGTATGTTGCTTCTGTTCTGCCACAGCAATGGAACCAGGGGACTTTCCAAGTGTGCCGTTAACAAGTGCACATGTAGATGACTGCACGCGTAGTGTAGCTATGGTGACGTGTTACCTGTTGTTGTTGTTAGAGATTTACCTCCCCAGGACGAAGTGTCCATGCAGCACGGGCTATGGTGAGCCCGTGTGACGTGTTACCGCTGACGGTCACACAAGCTCTAAGTGTTTAATGTGTCGTCTTGAGCACGGTTGCCAGATACAAATTACTGAAAGTAGCCAGCTGACGGTCAAAAAAATAGCGAATTTGTAATAAGTGTAGCCCAATTTTTTGTTGAGTGACTGATACGGGTTTCAAAGTAATATATTTTGATATATAGAGTGCACTACACGATGTTAATTGTTTTGTTCATATTATTTCTGCGCGCACACATACACACACACGATATATAGATAGAGCTAGTACATACAATGCCTAAAGCCACTATTACGCAATGCGTTTCGGGCAAGAAAACATTAATATCTAGAACTTAATACTAATTGAGCATAAAGAATAAAAGATGTTGAGAACAAATACAAATAAAGATAAAAAAAAGGGGGAACATGACTGAAAAAGCAGCACAAATACAATAGGTTGACAAACAGTGTTGATTAAAAAAAAAAAAAAAAAAAAAAAAAATAACAGACATGGGTTGACAATAGAGGAGTGAGGTAGATTACAGGGAATTTATTAGGTAGTGTTTAGTTTTTATCTTAAACTGGTTGAGAGAGGTACAGTCTTTAACATGGTTGGGAAGGTCATTCCACATTCTGGGCCCCTTGATTTGCAGAGCATTTCTAGTTTGATTAAGACGTACTCTAGGAATATCAAAACTGTATTTATTTCTGGTGTGGTGCTCATGGGTTCTGTTACAACCTTCTATGAAGCTTTTAAGATCAGGATTGGCATTATAGTTTAGCGTTTTATATATGTATAATACACATGAGAGAATGTGCAGTGACTTAATATCTAACATATTAAGAGATTTGAGTAGGGTACCGAGTGATGTCTGGGGCCAGAGTTGGATATTGTTCTAATAGCGGCTTTGTGTTGGGTAATTAGAGGACGTAAGTGATTTTGGGTAGTAGAACCCCAAGCACAAATACCATAGTTGAGATAAGGATAGATAAGAGAGTAATAGAGAGTCACCAGGGCAGGGCGTGGTACATAATATCTGATCTTAGAAAGAATGCCCACAGTTTTTGAAACTTTTTTTGATATATTTAGAATGTGTCCCTGGAAATTCAGCTTGTGGTCAATGAGAATGCCAAGGAATTTGCCATCTAATTTGTTACAAATTTGGGTATTGTTTATTTTGAGATTTATAAGACTAGAGGATTTATTGCCAAACAGAATATAGAAGGTTTTGTCAATGTTAAGGGTGAGTTTGTTGGCAGTTAGCCAAAGATGGACTTTATTTAGCTCAGTATTTACTGTGGCATTTAGAGCAAGAGGGTCAGGACTGGAGTAAATGAAGGTTGTGTCGTCAGCAAATAGAATTGGTTTGAGGTGTTGGGAGGCATTTGGAAGGTCATTAATGTAGATGAGAAAGAGGAGAGGGCCAAGTATGCTGCCCTGAGGAACACCAATGTTGATGGCATCATCTGCTATGATGCTATGCATACATAGAGATCTGCTATGAGGATGATAAACTAATGATGATAAATGCATATAGTCCACCGCCAAGCAGCACATGGTCAAAGGAGGAGCTAGATAGTAAACGTGAAGGTCTTATAACAATAATGAGAGAGATTATAGCGAGAGCGGATAACGATAGATCACGACTGTTGATAGTCGGTGACTTCAACTTGAAATCCATAGACTGGGAAGCATATGAAGCTAAAACAGAAGATTTTTGGACCTGTAAATTTGTAGACCTCATCCTGGAAACATTCTTGTATCAACATGTTAAACAAGCTACGAGGATGAGGGAAGGGGACGTTCCCTCCATGCTAGATTTGATATTTACCAGGAAGGAGGAAGAGATATTTGACATTCAGTACCTTCCTCCCTTGGGTAAAAGTGACCATGTCTTTTTGGGAATAAAGTATGCAATGCGTTATAAGCTGGAAGAAAATAAGGAGGTTGAAGCAGTTGAAAAACCAGACTTCAGGAGAGGACATTATGGTGACCTTAGAAATTTTTTTAGTGAGTATAATTGGACAGACTTGATGCTAGGCAAGGAAGTGAATGAGATGTATGGCAAGTTTTGTGAAATATATGATAAAGGCACAAAAAAATTTATACCAAAACAGAGATGCAGAACTAGGAAACAGGATTGGTTCAATAGAAATTGCGAGAGGGCTAGAGACCGAAAGACACAAAAATGGAATCAATACAGGAAGAGGCCGAACCCCCAAACATACCAGCGATACAAAGATGCGAGAAACAACTACACGGCAGTGAGGAGAGAGGCAGAAAGAAATTTTGAAAAAGGGATTGCGGACAAATGTAAAACAGAACCAGGTCTATTCTATAAATTCATAAACAACAAATTGCAGGTAAAGGATAATATTCAGAGGTTGAAAATGGGAAATAGATTCACGGAAGATGAAAAGGAAATGTGTGAAACACTAAACGAAAAGTTCCAAAGTGTGTTTGTACAAAATGAAATCTTTAGGGAACCAGATACAATAAGAATTCCAGAGAACAACATAGAACACATAGAGGTGTCTAGAGACGAAGTGGAAAAAATGCTCAAAGAGCTCGGTAAGAACAAAGCAGCTGGCCCAGATGGCGTTTCACCATGGGTTCTGAGAGAATGTGCATCTGAGCTCAGCATTCCACTTCACCTGATCTTTCAGGCATCCCTGTGTACAGGAATCGTAGCAGACGGGTGGAAACAGGCTAACATAGTTCCAATCTACAAAAGTGGCAGCAGGGAAGACCCCCTCAATTATAGACCTGTATCATTGACAAGTGTAATAGTGAAAGTATTGGAAAAACTAATCAAAACTAAATGGGTAGAACACCTAGAGAGAAATGATATAATATCAGACAGACAGTATGGTTTTCGATCTGGAAGATCCTGTGTATCGAATTTACTAAGTTTCTATGATCGAGCCACAGAGATATTACAGGAAAGAGATGGTTGGGTTGACTGCATCTATCTGGACCTAAAAAAGGCTTTCGACAGAGTTCCACATAAGAGGTTGTTCTGGAAACTGGAAAATATTGGAGGGGTGACAGGTAAGCTTCTATCATGGATGAAAAATTTTCTGACTGATAGAAAAATGAGGGCAGTAATCAGAGGCAATGTATCAGAATGGAGAAATGTCACAAGTGGAGTACCACAGGGTTCAGTTCTTGCACCAGTGATGTTTATTGTGTACATAAATGATCTACCAGTTGGTATACAGAATTATATGAACATGTTTGCTGATGATGCTAAGATAATAGGAAGGATAAGAAATTTAGATGACTGTCATGCCCTTCAAGAAGACCTGGACAAAATAAGTATATGGAGCACCACTTGGCAAATGGAATTTAATGTTAATAAATGTCATGTTATGGAATGTGGAATAGGAGAACATAGACCCCACACAACCTATATATTATGTGAGAAATCTTTAAAGAATTCTGATAAAGAAAGAGATCTAGGAGTGGTTCTAGATAGAAAACTATCACCTGAGGACCACATAAAGAATATTGTGCAAGGAGCCTATGCTATGCTTTCTAACTTCAGAATTGCATTTAAATACATGGATGGCGATATACTAAAGAAATTGTTCATGACTTTTGTTAGGCCAAAGCTAGAATATGCAGCTGTTGTGTGGTGCCCATATCTTAAGAAGCACATCAACAAACTGGAAAAGGTGCAAAGACATGCTACTAAGTGGCTCCCAGAACTGAAGGGCAAGAGCTACGAGGAGAGGTTAGAAGCATTAAATATGCCAAAACTAGAAGACAGAAGAAAAAGAGGTGATATGATCACTACATACAAAATAGTTACAGGAATTGATAAAATCGACAGGGAAGACTTCCTGAGACCTGGAATTTCAAGAACAAGAGGTCATAGATGTAAACTAGCTAAACACAGATGCCGAAGAAATATAAGAAAATTCACCTTCGCAAATAGAGTGGTAGACGGTTGGAACAAGTTAAGTGAGAAGGTGGTGGAGGCCAAGACCGTCAGTAGTTTCAAAGCGTTATATGACAAAGAGTGCTGGGAAGACGGGACACCACGAGCGTAGCTCTCATCCTGTAACTACACTTAGGTAATTACATACATACATACATACAAAAAAAGAAACCCGGATTTCTGCGGTTGGAAGAAAACGCTCACTGAGTGGGGGACTTGTTTATTTTATAATAATAATTAATTATTTAAACAAATAATTAATGATAGTCATAATTAATGATTTAATAATTGATAATCCTTAAATGAAGCCTAGTAGCTCATTATAACGAATAAATAGATGATTAAAGAGGAATTAATTATGGTGACTAATAATGATTAGTGAATAACCATAAATTATTATACAGAAATAAAATTATTGGATAGCCGTTATAATGATTAAATCAAATACAATAAAGAGAGATCTCGTATTCTTGGCTTATCACTTTGGGGGTTCCGTCGGAGCACCCCCAACCCCGTGAGGGCCAGCGCCGCGGAACCCCCAACAAAAAAAGAAACCCGGATTTCTAGCAAACATATAAACATAGTTCACACATATAAACATATAAACGGAGCTCTACAAATCAAGGGACCCAGAATGTGGAATGACCTTCCCAATCATGTTAAAAACTGTACCTCTCTCAACCAGTTTAAGATAAAAACTACCTAATAAATTCCCTGTAACCTACCTTACCCCTATATTGTCAACCCATGTCTGTTTCTTTAAAAAACGCTGTTTGTCGACCTAATTGCATTTGTGCTGCTTTTTCTGCCATGTTCCCCTCTTTTTTATTTTTATTTTTATTTGTTCTCAACACATTTTATACTTTAATTTCAATTAGTATTAAGTTTTAGTCTTTAATGTTTTTCCTGCCCGAAACGCTTTGCGTAATAGTGGCTTTAGGCATTGTATATACTAGCCCTATCTATAAATCTATCAATTTTTGTATAACCTCTTGTATGTATTTTACCAGAATAAACATTTATTTATTTATCATTTATTATAGAGCCTTAGCAAACAAACCTGGAGCACTAGTACACAACCGCTGAAGCACAACCATGCACGAACCGAAGCCTGACCATGCACAACCCACAGCCTAAGTGACACCCCCGGAGCCTGACCAGTTATTTAACTGGAGCCCGACCAGTTATTTAACCGGAGCCCGATCAGTTATTTAACCGGAGCCCGACCAGTTGTGTAACCGAAGCCCGACCAATTGTGTAACCAGACCCCGACCAGTTGTCTAACCTTAAGCCTAGCAAGTATACATCTCATCCAACCCCCACAAAGCTAAACACTCCCAGAGCACAACCAAGCTCCATTCCTAGCTCGACCAAACAAAAATCTTCTTAGTGCTACCTAGAATCCTCCACTTGCCCAAGAAACCAACTATAGAGCCATATCAAACAATTGAACTATATAAAAAAAAAGAAACTCGAATTTCTAGCAAACATATAAACAGAGCCCTAGCAAACAAACCTGGAGCACTAGTACACAAACAACCACTGGAGCACAACCACGTACGAACCGGAGCACATCCATGCACAACCCAAAGCCCAACAAGTCACAACTACTGACCTTCACTAGGATGCAACCCCCCAAAACAGTCACTTAACTCCGAGGTAATTAATTAAGTACTATTAAGTACTAGTAATTAAGTACTACCTATTTACTACTAGGCAAACAAGAGGCATTAGGTGAAAGGAAATGTGCCCAACTACTTGTCCTGCCCGAGGATTAAAACCATGATCCCCGATTTTGAATTGAGAACATACCCACTGTATTACAGGACCCTTAAAATGAATTAATAGATATATTTTTCTCTTACTGCATTAAACCCAAAATTTCTGGAAAAAAAAATGGAGGTTCTACCTATCTCACATAATGGTCATGCAGCATATAAAGCACTTTATTTGCCAAATAGCCATATAGATGCATTAGTGTCCGACTGTCCGAAAATAGGTCAGGTACATTAAGTTTGTTTCTCGCTAAATGTGTGGTCTTGCATTGATTTTTTTTTTTATCAACTCCAGATAAGACAGCAAACAGGAACCCAAAATCAGTGACAAGTAGTCCATTATTGACCCGATTTGCGAGTTGTAGTGTTAATTTCTCTTCACATCTAGGTAATATGGAAGTCCTTCACAGATATGCTAGTACTTAGTGCCTTTGGCTGCAATCATTTTTATCTCAAACAAAATTGCTTGGCAACATCTTTTTGATAATTGCTTAATACTGTAGTTTTTATCATGGTGCTTTTCTAGTAATTACCTACCGTAAGTGTAATTACCCAAGTGTAGTTACAAGATGAGAGCTACACTCGTGGTGTCCCATCTTCCCAGTACTCCTTGTCATACAACACATTGAAACTACTGACGGTTTTGGCCTCCACCATCTCACCTAGCTTGTTCCAACAGTCTACCACTCTGTTTGCAAAAGAAAACTATCTAATATTTTTTAGACACCTTTGTTTCCTTAGCATGAATCTGTCCTCTTGTTTGTGAAATTGCTGGTTTCAAGAATTCCCCTTTGTTAATTTGGTTGATTCCAGTTAATATTTTGTAAGTGGTGATCATATCCCTTCTTTCTTTTATCTTCTAGTATTGGCATGTTTAATGCCTGTAGTCTCTCCTTGAAAAGAGAAAAACTTTTGTTTTTCAGTTCCAGAAGCCATTTTGTAGCATGCCGTTGCACCTTCTCCAGTTTATTGATGTGCTTCTTGAGATATTGGGAGGACACATGGTGAAATTATTATTCACCATCCATATAATTAAAAGCAAGTTGGAAGTTGGATTTGCTTTTAATTATATGGATGGTGAAATACTAAAACTGTTTATGACTTTTGTGAAACCAAAATTGGAATATGCAGCAGTTGTATTCTGCCCTTATCTCAAGAAGCACATCAATAAAATGGAAAAGGTGCAGAGGCCTGCTACAAAATGGCTAGTGTCTTGACAAAGATTTTTTCAGTGGCTGAGAGCAAAGTCTTTAATATCATAATAATTTTTTTTTTTTTGACATGTTTGCTTATCAAAGCAATCTTGGAAGAGGATGGAAGTACACAACTATTATAAAAGTTACTTTGTCTTTTTTTCTTTTTTAGCACCTTGCAAACTTTTCTTTCATAGAAGTTTTACTACTTTCTCCTGTAATGTTAAGTAGATGGTATTAAGTAGGGGACAACTGTGTTCTCAACAGCACTGGTAAATAAAACCCTTCAGATGTATTTAATAGTGCCGTGGAGTCATCAGACACTAGTCTCTCTCTTATTATATACCTTCATAATTTGCTTCATAAGTCTTGTGGCACCTATCAATAATCCAATTTTGCATTCGTTTCATATTGTCTCTTGAAGTACTTTATCAGAGAATCTTGTTTGGTGAATTGGCCTTTGGCTTTTTTTTTATGGCGACTCGTGGCTTGGCGTCGCTTCTTGTCGACTGATAATCTATACAATACCCAAAACAGGGTTCAGCTGGTTTGCATTTTTTTTTTCATGGATACAGGTATTACCTGACTACCTGTTGAAGATTGCCAAAATCAATGTCCCTGTGGCCCAGTCTCTGACCAGACCTCCTGGTTGTTGGTCTGCACTGCACTGCAGGGTATATGCATTTTGGTACTTCAGCACTTGTATAAATTTTCAGCCTGCCTGGCTGTTTACATCATTTGTCAAGATAACATTCCAAATTTGTTGATGCAGGAGTTGCACAGTCCCTGCTTGCCACAGATCCAGGTAGTGTGTGGTGGTGTATTATATCTTAATCTTGACACTGGTGTGCACTGCCTCATGGTCACAGGACACACATTTTGTGCCCTTTATGTTAATTCAAGTGCACACACAAGTCTCCACTTGCACTTAATCTTGATGTTGGAGTGTGCTGCCCAGGCCAACATATGATCAGGTTTGTGCCAGGTCTGCGATCACAGTCATGATGAACCTGACAACTACGTAGCAAAGTTTTCAGAGTTCATTAGAGTAAAATGGCCAAGAAATTGTCAAAGGCGTTTGCCACTTCACGGTTTATGCCTTCCACAAAGATGAAATGTTGATGCCGATTTTGATACAGTATACAAGTTTCCCTAGATGTTCGGTCATAGTATTGGATTACTGCCTTCAAACTGAAGACACACGAGGGTTTACTGAATACACAGTATGCACAAATATGCATGGACAAAACTTATCCTAAAATTTCCATAATTTTTAGATGCATTATTGCAGTTATGGTCATTAAAATTCTCCAGTGTATAAAATGTTACCCCATGCTTTGAGTTTTGAAAATAACTTTCAAAAGTTATTTCTTTATATACATAATTTCTTCTGTCTCATACACACTGACGCATCACTTACCGACATTCACACAATACACAATGCCTCTCCAGCTGTAACCACTTGCTCTTTATTTTGTCTTGTGTATGTGGCCTTAACCAAAATGTTCTACTTTCTTGAAAAGACAAAAGATATCCTCATTCATTTATATATCTTTGGAAAGGTTAGGAAAGTGACACCTACTTTAGGATGAGAAAAAGTTATATACTATACAATACTGTACTGATTTGCAAAATATATAACTTTTTTATAATAAAAGTTATACACAAACTGCAATTACAATACAGTAATGCACTTGACCAATATGGAATACAATTATAGACAAACTATTCATTTCTCCTAGCTTCCCTGCTTTGAAAATAATGTTATATTAGTACACACTGACCTACAATAGCATAAAATATATTTTGTATCAGGAGAAGGCACTAAGCCATTATGACTTCAGCCTATATAGCATTTGGAAGGAATTTGAAGATAAGGATTTATGATAGGATTGAAGAAAGGAATGGTGCCCTACTACCTGGATGGTCGAGGATTGAACGCCAACCTGCAGGAAGCAAAGCCTCTGTTCTACCATCCAGTCAGGCTAAACAATTTTGTTATACTTCTTGAATAATGTTAATTCAGCTTAATTCTAAGATTAACTACCGTAAATATCAAAGTGACATTTTATTTACTTAATCACATCTTCATTTTATAGGAGAAAAAATACAACTAATAAACAAATATCCAAGTATAATTGACTGCTACATATTCACTTAACAGTTTGGTACAGTACAATGTAAGTACAGTACTAAGATTGGTACTAAGTCTTGTTGCAAGTGGCTGGTGGAGAATAAATGTTCACTAATACCCAAAATTTCTAAATTATGATAATCATAGTAAAGAGATACTGTACAAGTTTCTGAACTTTCCCTTTCTCCATCAGTCAAATGCTGCTGATGTCACTTCTGATGAGGGCATTTCGTATACAATGTACAGTATGATGAACTGCAAAATGGGGAAGCGGGTGTATATAAATTATGTCTAGCAATGAGATCTGAAAAGAAAACCTTAATTCCTGACACATGCCAATTTGTTCCAGACGTCAATTTGGCCGTTCCTGGTATTAATGTTCAACCTGAATAGAGCCAACTGTGGTAGATGAAACATGTTTAAAGCAACCATAATATTTTCACTTGAAATAAAAGATCAATGTGGCTAGGGCCTACAAAATGAATGAATACTCACTGGTGAGGGAATTGTGACTACTGTATGGTATGAGTGGCATATGACTGACCTAATCACAATGACTCACATGGAAGAACACCAAACACTGCTCTTGCCAACAGGAGGGTACACGGAGACGACAATACAATGCACTCCACCTCTTAGAAATGAGATGTATAAATATATCTCATGCCTGGAAATGCAACTATTGTACTGTACTTGAAAATAATTAATTTTGAAAGAAACACAACTACATCACACTCAACATTTATTATATTCCTATTACTTCCTAGAACTCTTATACAAACATACAAAACCATGATATTTTGTCATCAATGGTGTTCCCATTCACATAAGTAACTTCATATAAAACTTACACAATGTTTAATTTACCCTCCTGCAGGCAACTGCTTTTGTGAAACCACTTGTACTATCTACACCGCTGCCAACCTGGCAACCAGAAATATTACGTCCCAAACTCTGAAGCCTTACATGCAGCAGAGAAAACTTGTAATTGTTTAAAAAGACTGACTGCCATTTAGTTCAGATAGGATTAAAAAAGACCCGTGTCCACTGAGGAAACCACTGTAGCCAATCACTGTTGAGTATCAACAACCAAATATAACAGCCACACACAAAGCTACAGAATTGTGGCCATAAAAAAGTTCAGGTCATACGAGATCACGTTGTACAATACTTTGGAAAATGCCCTGTAAACTGATTATGAGTGCCTGCTGACCATGTCCTGCAACATCCTAACTCACGCACACTACTAATGTGCACCTCATAAATGATCACAACTGCATGGTATATATCCAAATTACTCACAAACTATTACTTTGAAGATATACTCTTATAAATCTTATCAGTAAAATCTAAATTTATAAAGGTAATCTTGCAGGCATAAAATTTACAATCTTTTACATTACATCCATTAAACTTGTCTAAATGAATGAATACCTCCAAGTTTATACATTGTACATAGTATGAAAACAGGCAAATAATATATATACATCCATTACTTTTTGGAAAACTAGTCACATTAAATTGTAAATTATATGATAACATTACATGCAGAATATATTAAAATAAATAACTGAATTTAAGGAAAAGGTGACCTCCCTCAGTTCACATAATTTAAATGAGTTCAGAGCTACTATAGTGAAACACTGGACCACAAGACTAAATAAATGTAATGGGTAAAATATCATGATTGAATTGTTCAAGACTAATCTTGAAATGCAAGATACATTAATTTGTGCACAATTAATACACAATTGCAAATTATTGGGTGCCAAAATCTATGAAAACTACATTTTCCTCTATATTGATATCTAGAGCATGTGCTCACTTCTTTAATATTATGTTCTTTGCTTCACACCAGGTACACTACACAAGTCCACATTAATTGTCATCAGATCCCCTCAACAGAGAGGTGTTCACCTGAAAGAACCGTATCACTTGCCCATACCAAGGCTAACGTCTTCAAGCTTTACTATACACGAAGTTGACTTATTCCAGCTTTACCTTACACAGAGCTAACATTTTCTAATTCTTCCTTATACTCAACCCAGATCCAGACAGGAGGCCCGAGTCAAAACAAGTCAAGTTAAATTGACTTGCACTTCACGTAAAGGAGTGGAGTATAATTTTGCCGATTATCCACATCAGTTTCAGAGTGCTACAAACCCAACAAACACTAGTTATATAACTAACTTACAATACCAGATGTTGTTGTGGTTAACTAAGCAACACAACTAGCCACGGATGCAACTAAAATTTTACTGCACTACACTTCCTAATAACATCTCACAATCATAATGAAAATCTTCTTGGTCTTGAGAGCCATCAATCGGCACTCTTATGACCATTTCAATGGCATGGTAATAATGCTCTATAATTCACGACACATAAGTATGTTTGGAGCAGTTGTAGCAATAACAATTAAGTATCTAATTAAAATTATATAATACAAATTTGTTTTATTTTTGCAATATAAATAACACCACTGTGAACATTCATACACCAAAGAATTGCTACTGTTGTACCCTTATCTTTTCAGCTCCTGAAGCAGTCATTCCTGTCTTTCCACATGTCGGTATATTATTTGAACACTCACTATTCTTTACTGTCTTTGCTATCATTGCTTTCTTCGTCTGTGAATTTTTCTTCATACGATTCTGTACTTTCTTGTTCCATCACTTCACAAAGTCGGGATACCAAGTTATTTGGAATGAGGGTACCTGTGCAAAAATATACGAAAGGTAAACACGAGTCTGTCACTCAGAAGACGGTTACTTCTGTCACTTCAACATAAACCCCAAAGAAATTTAATTGTTAACATTTTAACAAATTTAACTAATAATGTCTATTAAAAAATAAAAAGTACAAATTACTTGCTTACCTATCAGTGACTACGGGGAGTGAGGTCTCTCTCTATATATATCCCGCCTCCTGGTGCGCTAATTACCCCTCTCGATGTTACGTTTTCGTCAGTTGTTTTTAATGTTGTGAATAGAATTGGCTTCAACAGCCTTTACCTTGCATTCCACTTTCCTACCACGCATACAGGGAACAAGAACATCCTTATCTTTCTCCAACTCAACTCCACATCCATTATGATGCATTTGTGGGCTAAGAAATTTATTGTGAAAAATTTAATAATATATGTACTTTACTGTTAAATAAGTCTTCACACAGATCACTAAGAGAAACAAATCCAGTCTATTACAAAACTTTTTGTATGGTTCAATTTGATTCACTGAGAGATGAATGACAAGACAGAGTGAGGAAGTTGGAAGGCAAGGTCACTGGGCACAAAACCAGTGCCCAGAACTGGGCACTGGTTTTCTGGCACCATTTTCTGGGCGAGACCCGGAGGCTCCCCGGAGCTATACTGGGCTGATGTGTATATATTAGACCGTGGCAACAGTCAATTGAAGGAGTTCTAGGCCTACCGAGGACCAGAGCCAGAACCTGGCCCCCTCAAGAGAGGCACGAGGAGCAATGGCATAAAGACACCCCCGTGTAATTGGAAGCAGTTTTTGTCTGCCATCTACCAGGTCAGGCACCCAGAAAGGTAGGAATTCCAAAACTACTGCTGATCAAATAATTTGCAAATCGAAAGCCGAACTAGCAACAGAACTCCCCAATCAAAATCAAGGAAACAAGTATGAGGTCACCACAAGTGCCACGCATCCGTCTATGCAACCCCCCTCACTGTTTCTACTGGGACCCCCCCAACCCTCCCCAGAAGGGGGGGGGGGGAGGGTTGGGGGGGTTTTCTGTGGAGAGCCCCTTCGGCTCCCCGGAGCTACCTAACCAAAGATAAAGAAAAAGAGGGACTTACCCGGGAGGCGGTCGTCACTCGCTCCTCAACTTGAAGTCGAGACAAATGGCTGCAACCTGCGACCCAAGGCTCCACACGCCCGAGAAGGCCCATGAACATTAACGAGATACTGTACAGCCAGGAACCTGTTGACCTCCAAAAGCCCTATGCCCAAATGTCAGCCCATGACATATTCCCAAAAACGGCAGCCAAAGCCGCAAACTTACGAACGTCGTGGGCACAGGAATAGACCTCAGGCTGGCTGGACACGAATAATCCTGCGGACGACCTGGAAGACCCGCTCCTTGGAACAGGGAAGAAGGGAAACTGGATCCACCCAAAACGTGTCCCCTGCCACAGAGGCCGTGGCGCACAGATACCAGCGAAGAGCCGCAACTGAACACAAAACATGATGCACCCTTGGCCGAACCAATCAGGCATCAAGAACCCAAGGACCCCTTTGGAAAGCAGCAGACTGATTCTTCACCAGAAAAGAAGGAGAAGGCTGCAAACAAATGAAACGACCACCAGGACAAAGAGCAGAAACCCCTGTGTCGGAGGAGAGCTTGAAGCTCCCCATCCCGATCCCCCAGAGGCAAATGCCAACAAGAAAAAGTCTGAGAAAAACAGTCCTGAAGCAAGGGGGCCACCACAAGCCGAGGAGAAGAGAGAAAAGAGAGCACCCGGTCCAACGACCAGGAAGGCTCAGGCGGCACATGAGCAGGCCAGAGGTGAAACAACGCCTAAGAAAGCTAGCAGAATGGAGCAGAAGTGACATCCACCCCGAAAACAAGCTGCAGCGGTTCTGCCAGCGCTGCACAAAACGAGGCGACAGTATTTGGCACAAGATGACGGTCCTGAAACAACTAAGAGAGAGAGGACAAAACAACCCGATCAGAAATCAAAGACAACCTACGAAGAGACAAAAATTGCCGAAAGGACCACCAAGAAATTTCATACTGCTGTCTAGACGAAACTCGCAGGTGGGACACCATCAACTAATCCACCTGATCATCATACAAGTGGAGATACGCTCGCGTCAAAAAGACCAGACGCAGAGAGTGGAGAAGATCAAACCAGCCACGTATCGGACCGGACCGATCTGCTGAAAGAGGCGGAGCAGCAGGAAGACCCTTGGGTTTGGACATCGAGCAAGAAGTGCCTGAAACCAAGGCTGGCCCAGCCACCAAGGAGCCAACAGGACTACTCACCCTTGGTAAGCCTCCAACCGAGCCAGGATCCAGAGCAACAACCGGAACGGAGGGAAGAGGTACAGGTAACTCCGCCTTGATCAGTCCAGCTGAAAGGCATTGACCCCGACGGCCTCGCAGTCTGGGAAGGGCGCCACAAAAACTGGAAGATGCCTCGACGACGCCGATGCGAATAGGTCCACCTCTGTGCGCCCGTACGCCCAGCAGAGCCAACTGAACGAGTCGGCGTTGACCATCCATTCCGTGGAAAGGGGAATGAACCGAGACAGGCCATCCGCCAGGACGTTTGACACCACCTGAACATAAACCACCAGGAGAGCCAAACCCCGAGAACTCAGCAGTCGAGTCACCCGAAGCGACCAGCCCCAAAGAACCAAGGACTGCATCGAACCCCTGCGGTTCAAGCAATGAACCACCAGGGGAGCAGTCTGAATGGAGCCGGATCATTGCTCCTCGAGCAGCCCAAATCCTCTGAAGCGAATGCCACACAGCCGCAAACTCCCGCGCCGTGCTGTGAGCTCGACCGAAGGACGGACCCCACCGACCCTGTCCGGCCTGGTGAGCACTTGTCACAAAACCCCAGCCGAGAGACAAGGCATCCATGAACACATCGAGTGAGGGCTTAGGGAGGCGCAGAACCCCGAAAAACCCGCAGAGGAAGCTGGCGACGCAGCAGCCGACGCAACGCTCCCGGGATCCGAACCCATCAATTGCAAGAGCGGCAGAAGGGACAACCCTGAAGAAACCAGAACATCCACCTAAGCTAGATTCGACCCGATGGGTAGACCAACACGGCGAAATTCAGGCTCCCACACAGTCACTCGAACAACTGACGTGTGACCCGGGTGCCCTCCAAAAACAGCCGGAGGCAGGATTGCAGCCGCAACAACGTTGCAGGAGGGAGAGACAAGGAAGAGGTCTGAGAGTCCCATCACTAGACCCAGCCAAGTACGAACCTGAGAGAACCAAAAGGGACTTCCTCCAATTCACAATGAACCCGAACCTGGCGAGCTGAGAAAGACCCATATCCCTGGCTAGTAGACATGCGGACTGGCTGGGAGCCCACACCAGCCAGTCGTCGAGGTAAGCCAGAACCCGAACCCCTTACAGAAGCAAACAGGTCACCACGGCCCGGTAAGGCGTGTGAACACTCGAGGTGCCAGATTCAAGCCGAATGGAAGGCAATGAAAGCGGTAAGTTTGTTGCTCCATGACAAAACCGAGCCAGTCACTGTACCCCGGATGAATCGGGACGTGTACAATAAAATTATAAAATCAATACGCGTCCTGGAGGTCCAGACACCATCCAGGCACTCGGCGCCAAAAGCAGCTGGACCTGAGACAGAATGGTCATCCGAAAGGAGGGGTAAAAGACCCAGGGATTCAGACTAGACAAGTCCAGTATGAATCATAGATCCACACAGTCCCGTTTTGGAACTGAAAACAGGCGGGAAACCCACCTGAGGGACGTTGTCGTTTCGACTACACCCAAGCGAACCCACTCCCAAAAGACCTGACAGAGCACTGGAGAAGAGGCCTGCCCTGCCAGCCCCGATCCCCACGAAGGAGGAGCGACCCAACGCCACCACAGGCTGGAGGAAACGACCCGAAATGCCCACGAAATGTGGTACCAGGCGAGAGCAAACAGAGCGAGCGTTTCCCCTATCGCCCCGTCAACAGGGGCAACCCACGAAAGGGCTGACGACCCCTACGAGAGCCCATCGACGCTAAGAGCGATCACTGGGCTGACCAAACGCCGACGGCTCCAAAGGTGGTGCCGGCTCCGTATCTGGCACTACTGGCTTACGTCGACCGAAGGAACCCTGAGACCTGGCATGACCCTTCCGGGCAAGATCTCCAGGCTTACCCCAGAGAAACTACAAGGCCAACAAAGACCGTCAACTAGACGAAGCCTCCTGCAGAAAATGCACCACCGCAGACTCTACAAACAGCAACGGACAAAATGGTGATGAAAATCTATGAACCAGGGCCCAAGACGATTCCAAAATTTGGACGAGCACCGCCTGTCAGCACGCGAGGTGAGAGGCGAAGAACAGACACTGCCTCCCTCAGAAACGGTGCATACAACTTCACTAAAGCAGCTGGTGCCTGAGCTGCCGAAGCAAGCACACTGAACACTGGCCCGGAACCCAGCTACTCCACACCCACCACGAAACAGTCTGATACAGATGTTATATATAAGTATTTACATGTTTTGTTCACCATAACTGTACATCTAAGCTTGTATGGTGAGTAAAGGCACAAAGACGCAGCTACTCACAGTCAGCTGGTGGCGGCCGCCCTCATGGCCAGATGCACTAATATTTCTCCTCCAACAATACTGTTTGTGGTGTTATTACGCTATATACACACATTATATATAAGTATCTACCTGTTTTATTCACCATACTTGTACAAGTAAACTGGTATGGTGCCCAAAGACCATAGTGGTCACCAGTAAACAACATGATAAGTTGTGCAGACGACGCACCTCCCTCACCAAAATGGCAGCTCCCAACCTACTCCTATTGCTGTTATTATACTCTAAACACATTTTATATAAGTATCTACATTTGTGTTCACCATAGCGAACCACTAAGCTGGTATGGTGAGTGTAGTCAATAAAAGGTGGCCACACACAGTCAGAAGACAACGCCACCACCCTCCCTCCCACTGCATTACTCCTCCCTCCATTGAGCACAGCGCTAAATATCACCACAATCCTGCTATTATCAGAACCCTGGTCAGTTTTATCACAGTCAGGGGTCTTCTGTAATAATATAATCGCTAAATAATAGCAAGAACATGTATATTATGGCATTTTTAGGCGATGCTGTGGTGACAAGCTGAACAGCAGTGCTGTGAGCTCATGCTGTGTGCATCAGGCTTGGTAGCTCACTCAATACTCAGGCCCCTCACACCCGGTAATTTGGCCCACGATTTTTTTTTAAATGGCGTCTGTTTACAAGAGCCCTGATGAAGGTGTGGTGAACCCCGTGTATCCGCGGGCCGTTTAAATCTTGCGCAGTACTCCAAAACATCACATGATGCCGAGCGCAATTTACTGCAAGTCACTCAACGCATCATATGATGTCTTGCGCAACTAAAGGGTTAACGACGGACTCTAAGGGGGAGACCACCACCAAGCGACGAAGCCTTCAAAAAGGAGACCCAAACGTCCCAGGGAAGATAACCCTGACATGCAAGGGAAGTGCTACCGGGCACCTAGGGAAGTTAGCTACAGGTGCATGCAGCCCAGCCAACCTGGGCCACCACACCACACAAAGCTGGCAAAACCACAAAGGCAAAAGCCAGTCAATAAAGTGATGCCAGAGGAGAGGTGTTGACAATAGGCACACCAGTCCACAAACTGGTGGGGTGAGCGGCTGGCTCGCCTGAGTGGGCACGCTAGTTTAGTGGATTTGTGGATTTGCTTGTTTGTTTGTTTTCTTTAGGTAGGAATTTTGACCAGAAGAGGGTTTGTATTCTTTCACGTACCTTTCTGGGTGCTTTTCCTGGTCGATGGCAGACATGACATACTCTAAATGTAGAGTGCTCATATGGCCATTGCTCCCTGCACTTCTCTGAGGCCAGGTTCTGGCTCGTGGTCCCCGGTAGGCATTAGTACTCCCGGGACTGATGACACCAAACTAATATGGTACATGTCAGTTTGAATAGCTTCAGGGAAGCCGACAGGGATCCCCACAGAAAACCATTGAGACAATGAAATAATTATGAAATATCATATCTGTGGCAGCTGCGGTCCCACGGGGTCTGTGGGGCTAGTTTCTCCGAGTGACAACTCATTCAGCACCCATAAATTCCTCAACTTCTCTGTTCTGTCACGGCCAAAGTATGTCACATTTGATATTTTTTGTTACCGTCCCGTGTTCAGGGAATGCATTTTAAAATCAGAAAAAAAAAAAAAGTTTTGGGAAATAATTTTTTCTTGCATACCACGGGAAGGTCTCGTGTGAATGTGTAGTACTGGGGTAAAAAGTGTTAACATTCATACCATAATGTTTCCCATGCTGCATGGGCTAATTTCACTTAGCAAATTTTTGTTACTGAAATCCATCATATAATGGGCAACTTTCTCAGTTCTGTGAAATCTGGCACAGCTCCCTAAGCAAATCTAAAAATCCCTTACTTTGCTAAATCTCCAAACACTTATTCAGTAAAACAGGCAAGTAAATCAGCCTGGAAAGTGTGCATTGCAAATGAAGGTTCACTGAAACGAGGTTCTGCAAAAAGGTTGCATTGTATATACATGATGATAGGTTTACCCACTGAAGAAAGATTCTTTCTTAGCCTGCTGCTTAAATTATATGAAATATTGCATTCTGATATAAAAATAAGTTTTAGCCTAGGTCAAGGGATACAAAATGGAATTTGGACAAAAGTAACTACTACAAAACTTTACTTCCACAGAGATAAATATATATTATGGTCAACTACACCAGCTTTCCCCCCCTATACATTTTTTTACTTAAAATCTAACGAACACACACAAAAGAAACTTTAGTACTTACCAACAAGTTTAATGCCATCACTGGTCTTGAGTCGTACAACCTGCATTTTAGCTGAAGAATGCGTTTGTGGTGCACAGGAGAGAACATCTTCTACTCTTGCCCAAACATTCAACACCAAGCCACACAAGACGTGGTAGGTGCGCCGCCGCAAACCAATCTCACACTCTAGCCCACTATTCACACGTCGACAATTGCCTTGCCTGGAAAATTCCCATTTATCATTCTTATTAGTATAAAGAAAAATGGGATCAGCCTACTGCAATTAAATGGATAATGGCAAGAAAAATTTGCATAGTCCATGAATAAAATGGAGAGGAATAGGAGAGAGAATGAGGAGCAGTGAACCCAAGACATTACATTATGGTGAACACCTCTCAAATGTTAACAGTGATCATTCTAATGAGCTTGTAGGACATCTGACTCAAAGATGGCTTAGGATGGTCCAAAAGGCTTCACTTGTAATTAGAGGAAATAAAATTAAGGAATACTAATAACAAGACTTTTATTGCTAATGTTATGTAGCCCATCAAGAACCCTGCTACTTTTTATTTTTTTCTGGCACACTTAGAAATGTATTAAAACTCACTCTTGCCATTTCTTTAGAAACTTTATACTTAAGAGTATAAACATTACAACTTCTCCCTGTACATTTTATCAGATTTAATTTCATTGTTAACAAATTTAACTTCAATTAAGCAACAAACTAGATTCTACTAGAACAATTCTAAAGAAACAAGTAAAACGTCAACAAATACTCATTAACCAAATTATGGAAGGCTCACTCACCAATAAGCATGTGAACATATGTGACTAGATGAATTAAACTGTTCCTCCCAGTGTTCTTGAGCTTCATCTGGGGTAACTTTCTTGTACTTTTTCTTAAGGTCGGAATATGGCTCCTGCTTCATCTGCATTCCTGTGTTTGGTCGATATAAAATAAACACTCTTGCATTCTTATCGCGCTTTTTGTTGGCAGGAGATGGTTCCAATACAGCAAGCACCGCTGTTTTCTTGTTGTTTCGTACCTGTGATACAGTATAAGGCTCATATTTTCTTCACAGATCATAATTTACAATTAATAAAATACAATAAAACTTCTTGAATCATGCACATTTCAGACCAAGACTCTTACTGGAACAGTCAACTCATTACTGCACTACCATAGAATTTAAAACTAAAGTGTAACTCACTTAAACCTGACTAATTTTGCAAATCTCCAGATGATCTACAAGTATCTGATCAAGTTGAGATCTCTGGTCTTATGATTATGAACAGAGTTGTGCACACACCACAACCAGATTTCATCAGCATAAACTCATACGAAAAATGAATCAACAAATATTCGATTCTCATAGGAGTAGTTACCATATTCACACAAGTACAAGCTACAGCTTCGTTTCTGTAGCTCATGAAAATTCTTTACATAGGTTCTGCCACGACCAGTCACTAGAGCAGTCACCTGCACCTCTCACTGGTCACCTCCACCCAAGTGGTCTCCGTCATTACTAGCCCCACTAAGGGACTTAGTGAAGTTCACTACTAAGTCCCTTAGTGGGGCTTCATAGCCCCTTCTCGATTATCATCATTATATACCAAAACCTCAGTTGCTTCCATGAGCCAGCAGCCTATAACCATCTACAAACACACAGTTCACCCACACAACTCTTCACAATATATTCACCCATCACAGCCGTTGCTTTCCATCTTCACATGGTACCAGATCTGTACACCTTTCCTATTGTTCAAGGCCAATATGTGGCAGTTAGCTCACCAAACTTATTAGTGGCACAAAATATTAACAAAAATGCAAATGTGAACATTGATGGAGAGACTTAAACCATCCAAATATGTCAGGCCACCATTTATCTAGGAGAGGTGAAGCCACAGGGAGAAGAGAGGAGAGTACAGGGACAAGAGAGAAGGTTGGTAACAATGGCTGAACAAGACTCTTCAGGACTATGGGAGCCAAAACAATGAGCAAAAAGTTATCTAGTCTGAACAATAGAGAGGAGCAACTGGATCAAAGAGGCAAAGAAGATTCACCAATTCCAATACAGAAAAATGCATTCACTACAATTGTGAGCTGAGGCAACACAGAGGCAGCTAACAGTGAGCGAGGCAAAAAGATCCACTTATGAAAGGTCTAACATGTGTCATATCCATTGACAGAAGGCCTAGTCATTTCCACTTCATTGAGATTGGATGTAAACACTTGAGGCCATCGGCAAAAATTTTCAAAACGCCCCATATGCAGACCACACTGAAAACTAAACCCCGAGAAGCCAGAAACGAGGCTATGATAAGAGTGCATCCACCGTCCTGCACAGGCTAATAGACTGATTGGATCCGCCCCTATCCAGACTATGGAGAAAAATGGGGCTGCAATACCATCCAAAATGCTGCATATTCCCTTACCTTGATATGCTTTTCCCACAGGCAAGGAGGCCACAGCCAATGAGCAGTGACGTGAGTATATAAAACAAAGCCCCAGTTTTGCCTTTAATGTGCATGTACAACCCGAGTGATGAAGAGTGCCACCGAACAGAATGGCAATAAAAACAGAGAAGGAAAGTGAAAACACAAATATCTTCCTTAAGAAAAATGAGGAGTGCAATGTCCTGTCTCAGAGACAACAAAGGAAGCACTTAAGTGCTTTCAAGTAGACACTATAGTACCAGTGGTTCCCAAACCCTTTATGGTCATCACCCGTTTCACATAACGTCCTTATTAATGGACCCTATACTCAATATTAAACAAAATTTTAGCATCCTCTAAGCTCACTCCACTAGCTGGTTATTTCCCCATATGATTTGGTATGATACCCTCTCCACTGCCTCAATTTATGGCCCCCCCCCCCCCCCAGTCTGGGAACCAGTGCAGTCTACACCAAGGAATGGTGTCTAAGTAAAATTTCAGGCAGCCTCGAAGTCACTTGATATCCCTACAGGATATGGCAAGTAACGGAACAAGTTCACAAGGAATGAAGGTTTAAACATGAGGAATTAAGTTTTAAATTAATAATTAGTAGATTATAATATTTAATTATTAATTATAAGATTTAATTATTAATTATAATAAACTTGTTGAATATACTCAAATTTAATTTGTTTAATATAAAGTTTATACAGAGCACCTACTAAATATATTGTCAAATGCAAAGCCAAACATTGGTATTTTTACAGCTAAATTCTCTACTATAATTGCAAGATAATTAAAAAGGATATTTATGAAAGAATATTGGCTATTATATATTATATAAATGGGATAAATGTTAAAATATTACACTTAATATTTAAATAAATAAATAAATGACAAGAAAGATAAGTGAAGGATAATGGAAGACAATAGGGGGCTAGGAAGGAACCATACCTGGTGTGAGAGGTAAAACCCTTCCAAGTCTCCAGTAAGCTCGGCCCATTTCTCTTGAATTTCTGACCAAGATAGACCTCGCTCAACAAGGACGGTGTGGAGCTCTGTCTTGGCAGTTCCAGTCACGTGTTTACCCACCCAGGTTTTGGTTTTGGTTTTCTTACATCCTTCCCCTCCTATTCCCAAGTCTGGATAAACACAGGTATTAATAGTGTCAAGAGAAAACGTGCATTTGAACCACACAAATTGTGAAGCAACAATGTAAAGCATTTAGGAAGTATTTTATATATATTATATGACAATTTCATTAACAGTTACTCCTATCCTGAAAACTTCAGTATTATTAGTTATTCACACTTACAATTAAAAATTTAGCAGTTTAACATAGATACAAAAATTTGTGAACTGTGAAAACAACAGTGAAACATTTGTAATAACGAATACTGATCATGCAACTCACCTAAAATACCCATATCGAATTTTCCAGTACGCTTTGCCTGACTAACAATAGCAGCTAGTGTGTCGGTGAAGTACTTGAATAATCTATTTTGTAGCTCTACTGGCATACCTAATATCCTGGAAAGAAAAATGTTGTCACAATACATTCATTTCCTTCTCCTAAACAATATATTATTTTAACAACAATTCACACAGCAATCTTTTCACTGTGACACCTTTTCAAGTAATTAACATAGCAAATATGAAATATCTAATGATTTTTTCATAAAATTCTATAAATATAGTACTAATCATTTATGGATAATTAGAAGCAACGGAGCAATACAATGTACCTGGAAAATATAATAAATATTAGTGAAGAAAAACAATGCAGCTATATGGACATGTACATTACTAAAATGAACAGTACAAGTACATTAACTATAAATCAACACAGCAACCAAAATATATTACCACCCTTCCATTTTCCTCCATCGAGGGGTGAAAAGGCTTTAGAGAAGTGTGACAAAGAGAGCGAGCTAGGGGCTGCATCTGGATAGTAAACTGTCACAAAAGTACCACATAAAGAACATTATGTGAGGTGCCTTTGCTTTACTTTCTAACTTCACAACTGCTTTTAAATGCAGTGGACTTGAAATATTAGAAAAAAATTCATCACTTTTTGAGACCAAAATTGGAAGATGCAGTGGTTCAATTGTGCCCATATCTCAAGAAGCACATCAACAAACCAGAAAAGATGCAAAGACGTCCAACTAAATGGCTTCTGGAACTAAAAAACAAGAAGTACAAGGAAAGCCTAGATGAGTTAGATTTACCAAAGCTGGAAGATAGAAAAACAGGAGATATGATCACTACATACAAAATAGGAGGAATTAACAAAAATGACCAAGAGGAATTCTTGAAACATGCAGCTTCAAGAAAAAGTGTGCATAGAATCAAGCTAAGGAAGAAAAGTTGTCCAAAAAAATTAGAAAGTTTCTGATAAAATAGTAGATGGCAACGAACAAGTGGGAACCCTTAGGATAGTAACCATTTGCTCCTCACAATACCCACAACAATGGGTATTCCAAGATGGTTACCGGGAACAATCCACGCTTCACTACCGGCCCCACATCACTTTTTTTTTTTTTGAGGGGGGGGGGGGGGGGGGGAACAACCCCCCCACCTTCTCATTGGTTTGGGGGGATCACCGGCACCAAAGGTGCACGCCCTAGAAAGCTGCCCCTGAGGTGAGGATGACGTGACTGGTGCCGGGGGTGGTTAATGCCAAACCAAACCATCAGTAGTTTCAATGCATCATATGACAGTACCGGAAAGATGGACCATTACAGGTGTAGCTCTCATCCTGTAACTCCACTTAGTTAATTACAAACTGTTTTCTATTGATTCCTTCATGCAGTAAGTCTGGTCATACTTAAGGCAACAAACAAAAGTATAAAAGCTTACCTATTGAGGAATTTACTCATGTTGTTATAATCCTTATCCAGCTGGTGTATGCTATCTTCCTTAAGGATTAACCCTACTCCAACCAAGGCATTCTGAATATCAGAGAAGAAGTCTCCTTTATAGTCTTCGGGAGGTGGAACTATAGGATGCTCATAACCCATCATAGTTTTCATCGTTGATTCCAATGCCATACGGCCGTACTTGTTGTCTATGTTGAATGATGACAGATCCCTGGATTCTGTTGCTCTGCGGTCACCATGTGTCAAAGCTCCCTGTAAGACATTCGGGAAATTTAGGTCAGCGTTGAATGTAATGAAACACCATTTTCTGGGTGAGCCCCTTAGGTTCCCTGAAGCTATCCCAACTGATATGTGCTATATTAGTTGGGGGTCATCAGTCACGGGAGTTTTTATGTCTACTGGGAACCATGAGCCAGAACCTGGCCCCCCCCCCCTCAGAGAGGCGCAGGGAGCAGTGTTCTGAGCACTTTACATTAAAAGTGTATCATAATTGTCATCGACTGGAGGAAGTACCCAGAAAGTAAGGTGATTCAAAATAGACAACTGTCTAGTTAACCTGTGCAATCTACATCCCAAAAAGATAAAAATAACTCTCCTAGAATCAATCAAGCAACCCCTTCATGTCACTAGCACTGCTGCTCATTAGCATTACCTCTCCCTAGGAGGGGGGAGGGGGAGCCAGCAGCCCACCACTCCAGTTTTTGAACGATGGAAAAACCGCTGACCGGGGGAAGGTAGGATGTCAGGGAGACTTCGGGGCTCGCCCAGAAAATGGCATTTCATTACACTGAACACTGGTTTTCCGTGGGACGCCCCATCGACTCCCTAAAGCTAACTACCCAGAGATAAGTAAAAGGAGGGCCCTACCCAGGAGGCAGCAATACCACAGGACTCAAGACGAAGAAGAGACAGACACCCAGGACAAGCAACCAAAGCCACACACTACTGAGAAGGAACTGGAACGTTAACTAGATACCTTGCGGCCAGGACCTTGTTCAACCTCCAAAACCCTTCACGCTCGAAAGTCTACCCAAGACATGGTGCCAAAAACTGCTGCGAGAGTAGCATACTTTCGAGCGTCATGGGCACGAGGGCAGACAGCAGGCTAGTTGGACGTGATGGCACTGCGGACAACCTGAGACACACAAGCCCTGAAACAGTGTCCAGGTTGATGCGGGCTGGAAGCCCACGCCAACCAGTCATCGAGGTAGGCCAAAACTCAAATAACTAGCAGACACAGATGGACCACCACGACTTTCTGGTACTTTCTGGACTTTCAACAACATGGCAACCAATAATATAATAGAGAGCAGCATCGCTTACCTGCAGGAATGGCTCCGGATTCTTAATCATGACGATTTCAACCATGGAAAGATAGACTGGGAGAATGGGGACCCACATGGAGGTGCAGATACATGGAGAGCTAAACTCTTGGAAGTGGCAACAAGGAACTTTGAGCCAACATATCAGGGAACCCACAAGGATGAGAGGCAATGACGAACCAGCTAGACTCGACCCGATATTCACCTTGAATGAGTCAGAAATAAGGGAAGTAAAATTTGAAGCCCCCCATAGGAATGAGTGACCACAATGTATTTACATTTGAGTATCTGGTGGAAGTAGGGATAACCTATCCAAGGATGGGATCGGAAGGCAACCCAAAGCTAGCCAACCCAAGTTAGCCAACCCAAAGCTAGCCAACCCAAAGCTAGCCAACCCAAAGCTAGCCAACCCAAAGCCAGCCAACCCAAAGCTAGCCAACCCAAAGCTAGCCAACCCAAAGCTAACAAACTGAAGACACTTGGCCAAACCAAATCTAACTAAACAAACACCCAACCCTTCCCTAAACATCTAGGCCTCCAACCCTCAGATAACACCACCATACTCACCTACACATCATCCCAAGATCATCATCATTATTATATGTGGAGAAACATCTGGACAACTGATAAGCACCCACATTTATTATTGCTGTATTAACAGTATTCTGTGGCACTTTGTTTAAAGTATCTAGTGAAACAATAATGTATCATTATTATGTACTTTTGTACATTAAGTTATTATATTCGTGCCTGGGGGAAATTTGACTACTTATCCAGACACGACTACATACCCAATCGCAATTGAGACCGAGATGTACGGAAGGATGTCGAGTACGGTATAACAGAAAAAGTGTCTATTATTAACACTTTCAGCCTCCCGGCGAATGAAAAAAAAAACCGTATGTGCTCCCGGCGTTCTGCCGCGTAAGCGTAAAAACAAAAATGTGTATACTCTTTTTACTCTCCTGACCTTAGTTCTCGAGCTACGTATTTCATTTTGGTACCAACGTGTTTGCAATAAAATTCTCTAGAAGAACATCAGAAAAAAAAGTCACGAAACGTATAGGGATACCAGCACCAAATAAATAACTACGAAGATGACTCGCCGTGAGCGCCCAACAGCAACAAAATGTTTTTACTCTTGGGATTGTTATCACCTCCACACTTGTCCTACAGCGTTAATTTTGGTATCAATGGACTCGCAATGAAATTCCCAACACGGTGATATGAATATAAGCGTAGAATAATGATTGCGGCCCGCCCGCAAGAGTGTGGGAAGTGGTGAAATTGTTACCCGGTATCGGTGACGGGACGACGCACGGCGCTTTGAAAGTTTATACTTATTTCACTCTCATGACATTATTATTCTATGTACGTCATTCATTTTTGTGTCAATGTGTTCGCAATAGAATGTTCTATGAGCCCGTAGGTAAAAAAGATCAACAAAGCGTAAGATAGCATAGCGCCAAATATAAAACAACGCTGGAACATATCAGTGAGAGTCAAACGCACACGAAATGTTTTTACTTTTGTTATGTTTGTGAACCTTTCATGAACTTATTGTACCATGCAGCCTATTGGTGAGAAAGAGAGCCTTATGGCGCGCAGTTTGAAACAAACCCAAAGTAAATCGGATAATAATTGAATTTTATACAAATATTTTAAAAGAGGACATAACTTTATGTCCACTATGCGGGAGCGGGTAGGCGAAATAGGACGCCGCGAGGAGTCCTCATCCTCAGAAAGTGTTAAGTGCCTCAAAAAATCTAATCCATGAAATTTTATAAGACTGAAGTCTGCTTAATGAAATATGATGAATAAAATTTGGAATAATTTTAGTAAGTTTCATTTCAGAGAGAGGATTGTGAAAACAGTAATGTCTGTTTATAGCAAACACCAAATTAGGCATGGTAGACAACTATTTTTGTATTTGTATGAAAATCAAAGTACTGTAACCCCGCGATTATCCGGGATTCAAACATCAGGAAAACGCCATTATACGGCCAAAATCGTGATCGGATAAAGTTAACACAATATCCGGCCAAAATGGCCACAGGAACCAGATAAAAGCTGATTTGACCGGATGAAAATTCGGCCATACCGTATTAATCCCGTCTGTGGCTCTAGACGCATGGTGGAGGAGAGGGTGGGGTGGGTGGGTGGTGTCGGGAGGGAGGGAGGGGTGCGTCAGGAGGGACCACCTGGATACAGGCATTACCATTAATTTTAGAACAATTAATCATAGCCAAAAACAAATGAAATAAGTACTAGTAATTATGTAATAACAAATAAATAAGTTTCCTAAAAGCAATGTGCACAGGCTGAAGTTTCCTTCAAAAATATTGTGAATTTTTTTCCTCCTGGCGGCCTACATAACGTGCTATAGCTGCCCCACCCCAAGTGGACCCGTCCAACACTGGTCAACCCATGTGCGTCCGTCCCTCGTGTTATACACAGTGCTGCGCCATTAGTGAAATATTTTTTTTAATAACTTTTTTATTTTCATAGTAACTTTGAACATTTTTGGCCAAGACTATGTCTGGTAGCAGCATCAATCGTTCTGGAGGTGTTAAGAGGAAGAAGGTTGTCCTAGCAATTAAAGACAAGTTATGTGTTGTTCAACCAGTGAGGCATCACAGGCAGCCAAGCGTCTTCAACAAGTGAGGCGCTACAGGCAAGCCAAACGCCTTCAACAAGTGAGGCGCCTCAGGCAAGCCAAGCGCCTTCAACAAGTGAGGCATTACAGGCAAGCCAAGCGCTTTCAACAAGTGAGGCGCCACAGGCAATCCAAGCGCCTTCAACAAGTGAGGCGCAAGCAAGCGCCTTTAACAAATGAGGCGTCACAGGCAAGTTAAGCGCCTTCAACAAGTGAGGGCATGCAAGCGCTTCAACAAGTGAGGTGCAAGCAAGCGCCTTCAACAAGTGAGGCCTCACAGGCAACCCAAATGCCCTCAACCAGTGAGGCTTCCGCAGCTGGCAGTCAAAACTAACTTAGCTTAATGAACTGTACAGTAATTTTAAGTGTTAATTTTAGTGTTGTGTTAGTATAGGTTACGTAAATTGTTGGGAATTTTTAACTTCAAGATGTGTGGCATCAATCAAGAAGACGAACACGAACAAGGTAAGTTGAGGTTTCTAATTGAATATTAAATAATTATATGTGGCAAGGCAATTTAAATTATGTTGTTTGTAGTATAAAAATAGTTGGAAATGGTCACTTTTGGACTCGTAGGTGAAAAAGTAACATTATCCGAAAAATGTGATAATCCGGCTGGGGGTCCTTCCCATATAGTCCGGATGATCGAGTGGAGACAATAGTGTGCACTGAATACTTTTCTACAGTAAGAAATGCATTGTTCTGAGCTTACCAAGCTTTCTAATCTTTTGGCTACAGTGGAAGCAAAGCGCCGTTCCCCTGCAAGTTCCGAGATGAGAAACACGTACTCTGGAGCATTCACTTGGTTACTTCTGTGTGTTCGACCTGAAGAAAATGAATACAAAATTGTGTCACCTTCAATATTGTATGTATAGCCAGGAAGACTGATCAAAAACTTCATATGGCTAAGCCTTGGTGCCATATTTACTCTTTGTTATTGAATCCTCACTGCAAACACTTCACTCAATTTGCATTTGTGGCCAGCTTTCAATATTTGTTTGCATCTCCCTCTGATTTGTTATGTCATTATCACTCAAAATTTTTATTTTTCCTTGACTAATGACTTACAGATCAACAATTCTTCTAAATACAGTACAACAGGATAAACTTTCATAATAAATTTTGTATTTTACAGTGAGACATGTGACATATTAAACTACAAAATAGACTTTAATAGACATTTCACCTGTAAGGGCAATATTAAATTAAACACAGATGCTTTAAAGGAAAAATAAGGTGAGGTAAGGCCAGTTATACAAGACAGTTTTCTTTAGTAACAATTTAGCAAGTGGTAATGATATATATAAATTTTCTTTATTCTATTCAATGGTGCTGTAATGTCTGATGACTAGAAAAACTATTCTCTTTTTACTGTTATTTTCCTTTGATAATAAGTTTAGTGTTTCCATGTCCTAAAGATGATATTCCTGGTTTGTGTGATATAATTACTACAAGGTGTTGTGTACACCAAATATGCTCCTCTTCCTCTCAGTTCTACTTTAGACAGGGTTCAAATATAGTTGATATTTAGTGCACAACTTCTATATTAACTATTTCAGGTATTTATGATGGTCAATGTCCTGTTGGGAGAAACAGCCACTGTTCTGGGTACGTTTAGTTCATGTTAATACAGTATTATATTAATGATCGCAATGAAACCACAATGGCGTGTTATATCAATGAAAATCCCTTTGAGGTAATGGAGTGACCTGACCTTGCAACCTGAAATATAAAGATCATTTATATTAATGATCTTTGTTGCTCTCTTGGCATTTCCCCAATGAAATATGTAGGTTAACAGGTATTAGAATTGAAAAATAAAAGGATTCAATAATGTATTTAACTCATTTTCACAGAAGAGCAATGTACAATTTATAATTACCCTCATCATCAAAGCAACATTAAAGTAAAGAGTATTGAATTGCCAGACATCAAACACTATTTTACTATTGAACAAATTAACAAACTTTATAATTGTATTACTATCAGCAAAATTGTTACTAGCAATGTGCAAATCACAAAATCCTTAATCTTGTCACATGTTGGTCATTACTTCACCTTCTATCTTTCTAAGCAGACATATCTACATGTGTCTGCTAAATGTGAAAATAAACTTGGCAGCAAAATGTCATCAATAAATTCTACTATGTGCTGAGTTATTCCAAACACAATTGTGAATCTTTGTGGTCCTTTCAACTAAAGTCAGACAAATTCTACTCTCAAAAGACCAGCGTTGAATGTAATGAAATGCCAGTTTCTGGGCGAGCCCCAGAGGCTCCCTGAAGCTGTCTTACTGATCAAGTGCCCTACTACTTGAGTGCCATCAGAGAAAAGAGAGGTTCTGACTCATGGTCCTCGGTAGGCTTGAAAAGAACTCTGCGTCTTTATGACACTCAAATAGTATGGCACTTGATCAGTAAGATAGCTTCAGGGAGCTTCCGGGACTCACCCAGAAAAGAACAATCTGGCACAACAGGAATGAGAATCTGGAATTACAAATAAAAATAATCCTGAATACAATGATTAGTGATGTATAACCATAATTTACAAATTTATGATTATGCACCACTAATTTTACCAGTGTTTACCATTACAGTCTAGAGATCATAGCAAACTACACCCTTAAGGGCCTAACTCCAAGAAATATTAAGTATAAAAAACTAATTAATGATCAAAACATGCCTTATCCTTCTTTAAAAATCTCAAATACTTTTATTTCAAATTTCACAAGCAAGATGTTGCAAAGTTGGTTAAAATAAGAATGTTAGAATGAATATAAATTTGGCCAAGGAACAAAAATTGTGAACACTTACCAAACTGTTGGATGGCTCTGTCTGCAGACCAAGGTAGTTCAAGTGTTATGTGTACTCTTCTTCTCTGATTTATAACTCTGCGATCACTCTGGAGCGAGATGCCTGAACTTGCAGCCTCAGAGATAATAGCTATATCTTTTTCTGATGCCATGAATCTTTCTTTTTCTGTTACAGTAGAAAATAACACAAATTAAATTATGACATATAGAAAAACAAGTATACAGTCTAGGATAAATATCAGATGAATGCCAAAGTGGAAGCCAGGAAGACCCCCTTAATTATAGACCTGTATCATTGACAAGTGTAATAGTGAAAGTATTGGAAAACTAATCAAAACTAAATGGGTAGAACACCTGGAGAGAAATGATATAATATCAGACAGACAGTATGGTTTTCGATCTGGAAGGTCCTGTGTATCGAATTTATTCAGTTTCTATGATCGAGCCACAGAGATTTTACAGGAAAGAGATGGTTGGGTTGACTGCATCTATCTGAACCTAAAAAAGGCTTTCGATAGAGTTCCACATAAGAGGTTGTTCTGGAAACTGGAAAATATTGGAGGGGAGACAGGTAAGCTAACATAGACGAAAAATTTTCTGACTGATAGAAAAATGAGGGCAGTGATCAGAGGCAATGTATCGGACTGGAGAAATGTCACAAGTGGAGTACCACAGGGTTCAGTTCTTGCACTAGTGATGTTTATTGTCTACATAAATGATCTACCAGTTGGTATACAGAATTATATGAACATATTTGCTGATAATGTTAAGATAATAGGAAGGATAAGAAACTTAGATGAATGTCATGCCCTTCAAGATGACCTGGACAAAATAAGTATATGGAGCACCACTTGGCAAATGGAATTTAATGTTAATAAATGCCATGTTATGGAATGTAGAATAGGAGAACATAGACCCCACACAACCTATATATTATGTGAGAAATCTTTAAAGAATTCCGATAAAGAAAGAGACCTAGGGGTGGTTCTAGATAGAAAACTATCACCTGAGGACCACATAAAGAATATTGTGCGAGGAGCCTATGTCCCACTTTCTAACTTCAGAATTGCTTTTAAATACATGGATGGCGATATACTAAAGAAATTGTTCATGACTTTTGTTAGGCCAAAGCTAGAATATGCAGCGGTTGTGTGGTGCCCATATCTTGAGTAGCACATCAACAAACTGGAAAAGGTGCAAACACATGTTACCAAGTGGCTCCCAGAACTGAAGGGTAAGAGCTACGAAGAGAGGTTAGAGGCATTAAATATGCCAAAACTGGAAGACAGAAGAAAAAGAGGTGATATGATCACTACATACAAAATAATAACAGGAATTGATAAAATCGACAGGGAAGATTTCCCGAGACCTGGAACTTTAAGAACAAGAGGTCATAGATATAAACTAGCTAAACACAGATGCCGAAGAAATATAAGAAAATTCACTTTCGCAAACAGAGTGGTAGACGGTTGGAACAAGTTAGGTGAGAAGGTGGTGGAGGCCAAGACTGTAAGTAGTTTCAAAGCGTTATATGACAAAGAGTGCTGGGAAGACGGGACACCACGAGTGTAGCTCTCATCCTGTAACTACACTTTTATTTATTTATTTATTTAATATATATATATATATATATATATATATATATATATATATATATATATATATATATATATATATTATTAGTTTACTTTTGGCCTACTATGCAAGGCCCGATTTGCCTAATAAGCCAGTTTTCCTGAATTAATATATTTTCTCTAATTTTTTTTCTCATGAAATGATAAAGCTACCCATTTCATTATGTATGAGGTCAATTTTTTTTATTGGATTTAAATTAACGTAGATATATGACCGAACCAAACCAACCCTACCTAACCTAACCTAACCTATCTTCATAGGTTAGGTTAGGATAGGTAGCCGAGAAAGTTAGGTTAGGTTAGGTTAGGTAGGTTAGGTAGTCGAAAAACAAATAATTCATGTTATGTGTATTCACCTAGTTGTACTCACTCAGTTGTTCTTGCAGGGTTTGAGCTCTGCTCTTTCGGCTAGCCTCTCAACTGTAACTACTAACTAATTCTCCCCCCCCCCCCACACACACACACACACCCAGGAAGCAGCTCCGTAACAGCTGTCTAACGCCCAGGTACCTATTTACTGCTAGGTAACAGGGGCATCAGGGTGCAAGAAACTTTGCCCATTTGTTTCTGCCTGGTCTGGGAATTGAACCCGGCCCACAGAATTACGAGTCCTGCATGCTGTCCACTAGGCTATCAGACCCCCAAAGTGTGTGGAATCAGTCTTACCTTCAGATTGATAGTGGATAGGGGGTGGGGGGCTGCGCAAATAAGCAGCACGGCAGCGGAGTGTGGCGTTTGCTTGTTTCTTTAAATAGGGGAGTTCTTCCTCTGTTCGGTCTTCGGTTGCAATTTTCTTACCATGTGGGGGTCTGTTTCGTCATGTCCACCTTTCTGGGAGCCAACCCTGGTCAATGCCAGATATGGAATGCATCCAAACATGTGGGGGTTTCCATAGGCCATTGCTCCCTTTGCCTCTCTGAGGGGGCCAGGTTCTGGCTCGTGGTCTCTGGCAGGCTGAACTCCAATTGACTGATGCCCCAGACTAATATAACATGTATCAGTTTGGTAGCTCCCGGGAGCCAAAGGAGCTCCCTTTAGAATATATTTAAAAATTCTCTCTTGCAAACAGTGTTGTAAACGGTTGGAACAAGCTAAGTGAGAAGGTTATCTTGAGATGATTTCGGGGCTTAGCGTCCCCGTGGCCCGGTCCTTGACCAGGCCTCCTTTTTGTTCACTCCCCCCTCCCTAAAAGCAGCTCATAGCAGCTATTTAACTCCCAGGTACCTATTTACTGCTAGGTAACATGGACATCAAGGTGAAAGAAACATTTTGCCAATTGTTTCTGCCTCCACCGGAGATCGAACCCGGAGCCTCAGGACTAAGAATTTGAAGCGTTGTCCACCCAGCTGTCAGGCGCCCATGGTGTTGGAGGCTAAAACCATCTGTAGTTTCAAAGGGTTATATGACAAAGAGTACTGGGAAGACGGGACACCACGAGCGTAGCTCTAACCCTGTGACTACACTTAGGTAATTACATGTAGGTAGATGAGGTATATGACAACCCATACTACTGTTTAGATAGTACTTTTTGTAACTATGTGCACCATAGTACAAACTGCTGCTATTTAAATTTGAGAGGCAGGTGGGAGTAAGTGGGAAAAGCCCTAGCATGGGTAAGGAATTACTTAACAGGCAGGAGCCAGAGAGTAACATTAAAGGGCAAGAAGTTAGACTGATGAACCCTCTTTCTGACTTTCAGCCTCCCTCTAGCTCTCAGCCCCTTTATTCCTCTCAGACCCACTGTGCCCTTTTGTGGAATATTTTCCTATCACTCATTCTCTTTTCTACCAATACAGTACATATTTCTTAATTTAATACCAATCTGAAAGGTAACTTTCACTGGTCAACACCATTTCTGAAACCCTGTATTGTACTGTATTAAATTTCACTTAATGCCTTACTCGACAAACATTGTCTAGAGTTCCGGTTATCTCTCTCCATTCTCTCATCACTTGTGTCACTGTTTATCTGTCTCTAGTATTGTAAATGATAAGATTTTTTCCTTCTGCCATGTATGTTTGGTCCCAATGACCAACAACTGCTGATTTTATTACCTCTTAAGTTTTCCTGCTTCTGCAAAGGATTGGCGTTCCTAATGATTTGTCAAGACCTCTATTGGCTCAACTTTTTCATTTGATACTTTTCTTCTTTGATTACCTTCCCTTTCCCTTCCACTACCTTTAATCTGGCCTGAAGCTCTTATTCGTTTCCCTTCTGAGGCTCTTTGTATTCAATGTGCGAGATATAGTGAGTGTGGAAGGTCATTATTAATATATCTACCTTCTTTTCTAATGTTGCTCTCTTACCTTCAGATTGATGGCTCCCTAACCTCATTGATGTGACATGCGAGGTAATAATAATAATGAAGAAATGTGTACATAACATGACATTTATGCTAGCTTACTAAAAAAACAAAATTTTACTCTTATTATGCAAAGTCTAATAATGCAAATAAAACAAAAATTACAAACCTCTAATATTCAAAATTTCAAGAGGAACATCGACTTCAGAACGAGACTCGTACATAACTTGACCGTCATCACTTTGAACCACTCGGCCTTTGCGTCCTGTCATTTCTGCAACGTTCTCTGGCCCTCCCAATTCATCAATTAGCTGGTCTAATGTATTGGGAGGTAGTTTTCTACCCAAGTTTTCTATTGATTTCAAGAGTTCTGATTTTAATTTATTTGCCTTTTCCACATGATCTCTAGGTGGAGGTGGAGCCCTATCTCCATTTTCAGCTCTGCCTTTTCCATTTTTCTGTTTATGATTTTTAGCCTTCCCACGTTTTTTGGGACGACCCCAACTATCTAAAAGGAAAAAAAAAGACGTTAATTCCATTTACTCTTAATAATAATGATCAAAAAATTTTAAAACATTAACACAAGAGTCAATTAAACTCAATCCATATAGAAATAGTAGATTTTTATGCCAAGATATAACATGAAAAGGTTGTCTCATTAAAATAAAAAAGCATTCAGTTCACTTGCCTTCATCATCAAAATCACTAATTCCTGAGAAGTCTGACGAAGCTTCCGATGAATAGACATCTTCATCTTCCTCTTCTCCTCCACTATCACCTATAACAAAAAGATAATTTAAATTATGATATAATTTCTATGTTAAGAAGCAAGATATTTCGACAAGCTAAGAGTCTTAGCAACTTTAAACGATGCATCTAAAACATTTGCTCCAAAATGCTACATGCTAGTTTTGGCACTTTGCAATTACAGCAATGGATGCTTTCTTGCAGAAACAATGGTGTGTTCAAGCCAAGCACTGCCTCACCAAGCTTAAACAGCTTGGACACAACCATACAGAAAAAGATAAAGGAAAGAGTTAGAAAACTCAAGACAATGTGGTAACAGGAATATAAGTGCAGTATATGGAGGTTGGCAAAATGTATCACACCACTATGAGGAACTACAGCATGATCAAGGCCAAGGTGCAGCTAACTATATACAAGGATCAAACACACCCATCACAATGCACCACTATACAAGTCCAAGGACATGCATTAGCCTCATTTGCTGTTTGGCAGCAATCGGGTTATGTATCGCCTACTCTTGTATCTTAAGGTATCCATTTTTTCAGGAAAAAAAAAAAAAAGGTCAAATGATACGTAACAATACTGTACATCATACTGCTTCGCAAACTCCACTTCACAAAAATCATCATTTATATGATTAAAATAATTATATTTTTGTACTATTATTTTGGATTAACTTGTCTAAGTCTTCAGCAATTATCTATCTAATGTTTCCTATAAGCCTACTATCTTACTCCACCCTGGCAGCTCTCAATACTATAAATCTTTCTCTTACCAAGCTTGATTACCTTTCAATAACTAACCCTGTGCATCATACACTACTGTTTTTCATTAATCAACAACACAACTAAACATTTATGTAATTCAACCAGCTCTAAATACCATTCTGTAATATTTTTATAATGTACTGAATATGCACCATTAAATTTCATCATTTATACAATAATATGATTAGAAGATACTGAACAAATTATTATTATAACAGTTTATGACAGTCAAGCTGACACACACAATAACTTTTGTAAACCACATTTTTATATTCAAATCCTAATGTGACACCTAAAAACTCTAAATAAATCAAGGATTCAAATAGAACATAAGAGAAAAAAGCTTTGTGCTTAAACAAAAAGCTAGAGCAAGCCACGTAGGAGGTGGTTCCCATAAACAATGTCCAAGACAGGACAAGTTACAGTCAGGCAGGTAAGGTTGGGTCAACTAGGTCAACATCTCACCCTAACACAGCAGGACTGGGAACAACATACAATGAAAAGACCATTCAGCCCAGAATAAACTCCATGTAGTGATTTATGTATTGAATGTTCAAAACCTCCAAATGCTATTCAGCATAAAAAATGCCAAGGCATTAACTGCTAACCTGGCAAACTTCAAACTGCCACTAGATGTCAGCACTTGTACGGTAATATAGGTAGCTCAGCAATGCTCACCTAACATGTTACCAGACTAGATCCCCAGACATTACAGAGAAAGTCACGACAAAAAGGAAGGGAAGGATGTAAACAGAATTAAAAGATAAAGATGTCCAACCCCCTCTCTCCCCCCTTAGATGATGATCATTAGAAAGACAGACACCAAAGTGCCACACACTAATTGAGGAGATACCAGCACCCCAAACCCAGATGTTATGACCAACCATAGCATATACAAACACCTATTGGGAGTAGCAAACTTCCAAAGATAATGAGTATAGGGATAAGCTTGTAGCAAAGCTTAACTCCCTGAACCGTGCATCACATCCAGGGATGTATTAAAGAACCATTTAAGATTTCAAACTCCTGTCGAGTAAATGGGACATGCTTACAATGCCTCGGGGAGATAATAAACACGAGTAAATGGGACATGCTTACAATGCCTCGGGGAGATAATAAACAGTCACCATCTTGAAAAATATTGAAAGCAACCCATCTTTTGTTTGTATCAGTTTGTATAATGCAACCTTAAGTGATGCCCTTTACATAAATGCATTGTACATGACAAGTGCCTGGCATCTTCCTTGGTTTCATAGACCTTAAAAATCTTCACCTTGGTTTGCATTTATGAAATACAGAATGTGTTAACAGATGGCTTCTCTCAGTTTTGCCTAACTGGAATAAAATAATAGATAGATGACGCTACCCTCATCTGGATACGTGAATCATACAATTTAACTTTTCAGGATAGATGTGGTACATGGAACCACACTTGTCCAGTGAAAATGATTCCATTTTACAGTCAAGATACTTTTGAGCTGCATGCTTTTTATCTAGATTATTCATTTAGAAAACCATTTGCAAACTCAAATCTGTACCTTCTGAAATATAGTAAGAAAAACTAGTCTAAAAAAATTTGTTACAAGATTGGCATGAAAGTAATTAAGATGTGAAGAATGACTACTGGAGATCAAACCACCAGTAAAGAGTGAAGTAGGAATCAATGACAGCATCACAAGATAGAGAAAAATATGTAAGAGAAGCAGTAGCAAGGGAAATAAACAAACAACAAAGATTGTGAAAGTCTCCTCCATTTACAGTTTTAATTGCAAATAAGATGCAAACATTATGAAGCTGGGTGGTGTAAATGATAAACCAAAACATAGTTATTGCACCAAGTATCAACTAGCTTAGAGCCAAATAAATATAAGTGCTATTATTACCTAAAGCAAAAGAAAACTAATTATAAAAAAAACTTCCTAGACTTGCAGTTTCAACAGAGACTATCCAGAACATAATGAAGAAAGTTTTTAACATGTAAACTTTATTACTCACTTTGATTATTTACTAGACATGAAACAACAGCATCAACAATTAATAATATGATGGACCCCTAAGATATCGCCCAACTGAGAAACATCTCATAACCCATAGATAATACTCTATCTGTAGGATTATTATCTTGATCCCACTCCTAAAATTAGGTATAGATAAAACATGAATGCAAAATATACAATACTGGCAACTCCATGCATAGCTTCTTCCTAACTGTCAAGGACTACATATACAGTATCAATACAAAAGTTTATGTTGTGAATGAGAAGCAAACAAATGGGATCTCTACCTGTCAAGGTCTCATCAAAGAAAAAATAAATAAGCAACATATAATACCAACATGTGAGGAGCTCAACAAGGTTTACCTAGGGCCTGGGCTGCAGTGCAAGGAAAAAGTGAATATTAGGCAGTAGTGCTGCACACTTTAAATTTACGTTAATAGCAATACAATGCATAACCCTGCAAAAATATACACACACATTTTCATACATACATATATACACAGGTGTCGGGGAATCACCAGAACACAAGTTCAAGTCACTCCATTGCCTCAAAATGATTTTCATTGCTATATACAAACAGTACATACATACTCACACACACAATTATATATAAATATATATATATATATATATATTTCTTTTAAGTGCATCTGAGCTCAGCATTCCACTTCACCTGATCTTTCAGGCATCCCTGTGTACAGGAGTTGTAGCAGATGTGTGGAAACAGGCTAACATAGTTCCAATCTACAAAAGTGGCAGCAGGGAAGATCCCCTCAATTATAGACCTGTATCATTGACAAGTGTAATAGTGAAAGTATTGGAAAACTAATCAAAACTAAATGGGTAGAACACCTGGAGAGAAATGATATAATATCAGACAGACAGTATGGTTTTCGCTCTGGAAGATCTTGTGTATCGAATTTACTAAGTTTCTATGATCGAGCCACAGAGATTTTACAGGAAAGACATGGTTGGGTTGACTACATCTATCTGGATCTAAAAAAGGCTTTTGACAGAGTTCCACATAAGAGGTTGTTCTGGAAACTGAAAAATATTGGAGGGGTGACAGGTAAGCTTCTAACTTGGATGAAAAATTTCCTGACTGATAGAAAAATGGCGGCAGTAATCAGAGGCAATGTATTGGACTTTAGAAATATCAAGTGGAGTACCACAGGGTTCAGTTCTTGCACCAGTGATGTTTATTGTCTACATAAATGATCTACCAGTTGGTATACAGAATTATATGAACATGTTTGCTGATGATGCTAAGATAAAAGGAAGGATAAGAAACTTAGATGATTGCCATGCCCTTCAAGATGACCTGGACAAAATAAGTATATGGAGCACCACTTGGCAAATAGAATTTAATGTTAATGAATGCCATGCTATGGAATATGGAATAGGAGAACATAGACACCACACAACCTATATATTATGTGAGAAATCTTTAAAGAATTCTGATAGAGAGAGAGAGAGAGAGAGAGAGAGAGAGAGAGAGAGAGAGAGAGAGAGAGATCTAGGGGTAGTTCTAGATAGAAAACTATCACCTGAGGACCACATAAAGAACATCTTTCGAGGTGCCTATGCTACACTTTTTAATTTCAGAATTCCTTTTAAATACATGGATAGCGAAATACTAAAGAAATTGTTCACAACTTTTGTTAGACCAAAGCTGGAATATGCAGCAGTTGTATGGTGCCCATATCTTAAGAAGTACATCAACAAAATGGAAAAGGTACAAAGATATGTAACTAAATGGCTCCCAGAACTGAAGGAGCTACGAGGAGAGGTTAGAGGCATTAAATACTGTGCTGCCCTGGTCGAGAAAATTCATTTGCCCATTACTGCGCCAACTGAAAAAACACCTTTTGAATTTTCCGTACCCATTTGAAATGCAAGCGCGGTAGGTTGTTACGAAATGGACTCCTTGGACCTCCAGTGAGAAGCAGCCATCTTGAAAAAACATTCCCAGATTTCCCTAGGGCTGAATGAGCAACCAAGGGTGGGGCATGTGCTTCTGGCTCCCAATCCCCCTGTCAGATGCAGTGTTGAAAGTTGACTCTATCAGTGAAATTCAGATCGTATTGTTTGAAGAACTTAAGGGTCATGATAATGATGAAGCTAGGCATAGTAAGGACCTCACACAAGGGTCGGATGCAAGAGATACAGTACCGATGAAGACGATACAGCGAGTGTATCCAGTTGCAGCCAAGCTCCACCCATGCTAACCCATGTTATCTCCAATTTTTATAGATGATACATAGATGAATCGTTTTCTGGGTTCAGTGATGATGCATCTGAAACAAGTAGCATAGATGAACAGTGTTAGCAGCTTCCATGGTGGTGTTTTCCACAGATCTTTTCAAGAATAGTTTAATTTAATTTTAGGAGCCATTTTTAATCCTTTACTTTCCCCTTCTTCAAGACTTCTTCTTTTCCTTTAGTTCCCAAACTTTCTTTTTCAAGCCTAATTGCTTTACTTCACTTTCCAGAGCTGAAACCTTGTTTCTCAAGTTTTCATTACTGCTCCTCAAATTCTTAATTTCATCCATATGATACTTTAAAATGCACTCTTTTTGCCAACCTGTTGTGAAAACCACTCATGGTAATATTGTCCTCATCAAACCCACTAAAATCCTTCTCTTGTGTGTTGACTTTTCTCATGCTGGAGGGCCATATTGTGCTGGTCATCATGTGCTCCCACACTATTTCTTTCAATAACATTATTTATGCTTCTGTCTGCTTACTAGATATTCATTCATTATTATGCACTTTTTCACTTGATATTGCTTGTTTATCCCTCACAAATTAAAAAAAACACTGTAGCTCTCCCAGCCCTCAACCTCCCACATCAACAGACTTTTAAATACAGTATAGCTCTTAATTATAAAAAACAGATTAAGAAATTGAAGAGCAGTAACAAAAAGCTGTGACAAATAAAGCAAATTTCAGAAAAATCCAACATTCTCTGCCCAAGCTGCAAACCAACTGTCATACCAAACAACTGTCATTCTTAAACAAAAATTGCAATAAAAAGGTTACAATACCTGACATCTCAAAATCAGAGTCCTCGTCATTATCCGAGTGTGCTTCCCGGAACCTTCTTTTAGCTGCGCGCTGAGCAGCTTGCCGCACTAGTTGTTCATTACAAAAACAAAATAATTAGCAGTGTTAATCAAATATACAAGTATAGTACAATATTTCAAATACAACATTTGTATGAATTATTAAGGTCAAAAAGACAACTTATTCTAAAACAAAAACTTATTAGTGATATGAACAAAATTGCACAATATTGAAACAAATGTTTGGTACTTGAGAAGTAGAGTGTAATATTAATAAGCTGAATTAAATGTTCTCACTATTATCCACAGGACATTATAACATTTCTATGCAAGTAGACTTATTTGTTGCAGTTAGGATGATACACTATACTTTTGGAACACATATGGCCTGATGTTGAGTTACTTGAGTCATTTATATTATTATAAGATGACGATTAAAAATTATTTTATTATCTAAAATGCATTTGCAATTATCATGGTACTTATCTATTTAAGAGCACCACTCAATATTTTTTTTTGAGAGAGAGAGAGGGAGAGAGATTTTGATGCTCAGTAAAGGCAGAGTAGAAACAAGAGACTAAATACATCTGACCATGTGTCATAACCTACCGCTTTGTGTGTGCAGCACACATTTAGTTCCTGCCTCCACTCTCCCTCCCTCCAAAATATAAAACCAGCATTGAATGTAATGAAATGCCATTTTCTGGGTGAGCGCCGGAGGTTCCCTGCAGCTATCGGACTAATGTGCAATACATTAGACCAGGGGTGGTTTGATTAACATTAGACCAAGCTGAACTACATTAGTCAACGTAGTTCAGCTTACTGGGGACCACGAGTCAGAACCTGACCCCTCAGAGAGGCACAGGGAGCAATGGCTCTGGAAAACCCCACTGTGGTTGGGGGTTTTCCTTATCTGCCATCGACTGGGGTTAGGCACCCAGAAAGGTAGGCATAACAAAACAGACCTGACATGTTAAGAAATTGCAACCGAAAACCAGAGGCAGAACTCCCTCAATTCCCAAGGAAACAAGCAAACAACAAAACGTCACACCAAGCTGCCGCACCACTCGTCTGCGCAGCACCCCCCACCCCCAGGAGGGAGAGGAGCCCTGAACCCACTGCGCCAACTACCTAACCTTCAACCTCAGTTCAGAGGCTAAGCATCAAAAGCAAAACAAAACTGCCGACCGGAGGGAGGGAGGGTGCCAGGGAGCATCGAGGGCTCACCCAGAAAACAGTGTCTCATTACATTCAACGTTGGTTTTCTGTGGGAAGCCCCTTCGGTTCCCTGGAGCTACATAACCAAAGATAAGTAAAAGAGGGACCTACCCATAAGATGGCCGCCTCGCGTTCGTCAACTCTAAGTCGAGACAACTGTCTGCAACCTGTGTCCCAAAGTGACACAAAAATCTACCCGTTGGCTTTCTGACGGGTAGATACACACAAATAAGTAATTGAGGGACTTACCCAAGAGGCGGCAGCACCGCAGGTCTCAAGATGAAGAAGACACACCCGGCCATGACAGACACTCCAGCTCAACACAGCTGGAGAGGGGCCATAACGTTCACGAGGTACCTGGCGGCCAACATTCTGTTTGACCTCCAAAACTCCCATGCCTGAATGTTGACATACGATATATTACTAAAGACTGCAGTCAAAGCCGCATACTTCTGAACATCATGGGCACAAGGGCAGATTGCAGCCTGGCTGGACTTTATTACACCACGGACAACCTGAGACACGTTAGTCCTGGAACAGGGAACCAGGTAAACCGGATCCACCCAAAGTGCATCCACTGTCACCAAACAAGTGGCCTGCAGGTAGTGGCATACCTGATGCCACTACATACATGATGCACCCCTGGGCGAACCAACCAAGCATTAGCAACCAACAGACTCCTCCGGAAGCAAGCCGTCTCATTCTTCGCCAGAACAGACGGAGAGGCTGCAAACAAACAAAACGACCACCAGGACCAAAAGAACAAAACCCTCGGTGTCGGAGAAGAGCATGAAGCTCCCCTACCTGACCCCCAGCGACCAAAGCCAACAAAAACAATGTTTCACAAAATTTCGAACTGAAGAGCAGGCCGGAGGTGAAAAAACACACAAGAGAGCTTACGGAACAGAGCAGAAGTAACATCCACCCCGAACGCAAACTGAATCGGCTCCACCAATGCCGCACAATAAGAAGCTACAGTATTCGGCTTGAGATGCCAGTCTAGAAAAAGCCAAGAAAGGACATAACCTTAACCAACACAGACAACATCCTACGAAGAGAAAGGAAATGGCAGAAAGACCACCAGGAGACTTCATACTGTCACTGAGATGAAACCTGCAGGTGGGACATTATCAAAGAAGCCACCTAATCACCATACAAGTGGCAATAAACCCACGTCAGAAAAACCAGACGCGAAGAGCGGAAGAGTAAGTTGAACCAGAGAGATACCTCACCGGCCTGACCTCCTGAAAGAGGCGAGCCATGGAAAGACTCCCGGGTTTGGACACCGAAGAAGCAGTGCCTGAAACCAGGGCCGGCTCCTATGGGGCCAGGAGAAGCACTCTTCCCTGAAAGGATTCGAGCTGAGCCAGAACTCGGAGTAACAGCTGGACTGGGAAATAAAGGTACAGGAACCCCCACCTCGACCAGTCCTGCCAGAAAGTGTCCACCACGAAGGCCTTGCAGTCGGAGAATGACATCACATACAATGGAAGATGCCGAGACCACGCCAACGCAAAGAGGTCCACCACCTCTTTGTCTGACAAAGCACCGAAGAAGTGAGTTCCAGGACTCCAGGCAACTCCTATACAGGAGCAGATTCCTATGCTGACATCTTCAATATAACCTACACTGGTGTCTACAGGCACTCTACAGGCTACTTTCAACTTCCTTTATTTTATGCAAAAACTTAGGTCATTTCATGGCTTTAACCCACAGCATGGGTGGTGAGAATGAACAAGAAGTAGTGAGAGGCAAAACCAACACCAAAGCCCTCAATTCCTACAACTTCAATCGTGTACCAGTCAGACTGCAACAATCTAAATTGCACGGGGTGAGTTCAAAAACACATGATTTACACCCTAATGAAGTAAAACCTACAGAGGTCAACAGCATGAGCTCCAGAGGTAGCCAGAGTTATCATCAGTTTAAAAAAAACAATGACTACTGTAGATCCCTAGAATTCTACAAAAATGACTGACTCTACATCATCAGTGCCACAAGCTCATGGGAGATACTGGGGAAATCAGTCCAGAAATGAAGCTTAAATCTTTTTGATAGCATTAAAGATGAGGTAAAAAATATATATATTTACAGTATATATACTAATAATGTTACCTGTACCATGAATTCTGAAAAATAAATAATTTAGCTTCTTCAGTCTTAGAAAAATGCTATCCTACAACTTCACAATAAATTAATATCATACCTGGTTTTCTTTTAGAGGTCTTCCCGGTAACCTCATCAATTATGTCCTTAAATTCTTTGCTTGTTTCAGAAATTCCTAAGATCTTATTAATGCGGTTGCGATCTGGTGCTGGGAAGTGTTTCTCTACTAAAGTTTCCATCACACCTGGTACAATAATAATAATGATGTTATAGTGGACTCCTAACTGCATGTCTTCATTAACTTGTCTTACTGCACTAATGTCAAGATAATAAACAATTTAGTAGGTTGGTTGAACACAACAAAAAATACTGATGATGGAGAGAAAATTATGAGTAGATTTTATCTATATATAGTGTTTTGCCTGTAAGGTCTTCATTAAATCTGGTTTAATAGATCTTACTAGTAAAATTTACACGTGCATAAAATTTAAATAATGAGCTGTACTTGTAAAGTTTTTTTTTGTAAAATAAAATTTACAAGTAAAATTTACAAGGATCTTACAAGTAAAATTGGAGCCTACTTTCAACTTCACTTATTTTATGCAAAAACTAAATTGTAATAGATCAGTGGAAATTTTAGTGTTGTGTAAGCTGTTTATTTTGTATAGGTTTATGGTCTCTCAAATTTGTCAAGTGTTCTCAGAGCTCAGATAATAGCTGTCAAGGAGTACAGCAAGTAGAATTATTCCGCCTATTACTGCCTCTGTTGCCAATTTTAGTAACAAACATTTACTTACAATTATCTTATATCATCCAGACCATAATGTAAATGACAGGCTTCATCTTACAAAGGAGATGAATACAGAGGTAAAACTGTTGTTTTAAAACCTCTCTGAAGGGGCCAGGTTCTGGCGCTGGTCCCTGGTAGGTCTGAATTCCATAGCTAATGTCCCGGTCTAACATAACATACATTAGCCCGATAAGCTCCAGGGAGCGGTAGGGGCTCCCCACAGAAAATGCAATTGGGCTACACTGAACATTAACATACGGAATACAGTGGAACCTCGAGTGACAAGCAGCTCCAGTTACGAGCATTTCGAGTAACGAGCAAGCCACTCGCAAAAAATATATCTCGACTGACGAACTTTCGCTCGATTAACGAGCGTTCCCGATGGTTAATGGACACCCCCGATGACAGTTTTGTTGTTGTTTCGCAAGACGAGATTTCCACATGAAGAGCTCAGTGCAGGAATGGATTAAACTCGTTAATCAAGGCGCCACTGTATTAGTTTTATGCTCAATCTTATGTTATATTTGTTTCATTACAGTGAGGGACTCTCAAGGTATCACATCAAAATTTACTATTACACTACATTGCTGGATGTCAGTAGCTGTTGCAAGTTAACAGGAGGATGTTTCATAATATTGAATGGAAACCACTTAGAAGAAAGAGGAAGAAAATAAACATGAATTTCATAAAGCGATAATGCAGAAAATACCTAAAAACAAAGAGTGCTAAGAGAAAGAAGCAGAGCCTAAGTGCTACATCTCAGTCTGCTGTAGACAGTTAAAGAAGCACACATCAGGACTACTTGACACTCACCTTTGGCGGTGGAAACAAAATCGGAAAGTTCACCGTCATCTCTCTCCAGTTGTTCTAATGTTCGTGCCTCGCCAGTAGATTGTAAACCAATCACAACACACCTATTAGTTTTAACAGCCTCACGAGCTAATCTGACTGCATGATCCACCTGGAAATAAATTTGTCACTAATGTGTGTCTAAAAGGAATTTCTTGCAAAATATTTCCATTACTTAAGAAATAATAAGGCATTAAGAAAAAATGAAACCTTGGATGCTCCCCAAGCAAGCACACTGAAAGCACCATTGTACTGCCTACAAAACCTTTCCAAGCTATTCTTAGTTTCACTATGATGACTACCAAGTAGTGCTCTCACCAAACTGCTATTTTTCTCCAAACATAAGTTCACAACACAAAGCCCAGTCACATTCTTACTGACACACACAACTCTGATACCATGCACCAAATTGGAACAGAGAAGGACACTCTTCTTATTACTAGTTGAATAAGTAACAAAGGTATACAAAGAGAGAGTACAAACCTGTGAAGTACACCAATTGACCCTTAGCTGTGCATGACATCATATAATGGGGTTACACATACATGGGGCTCTTTAGTTGCTTCCTCAGACCTCCAGTAACAAACCCCCATTTTGAAAAAAATCCAGAATGCCTCACTTTCTTCTAGGGCATTAGTAAAAAAAAAAAAAAAAAAAAAAAATGAGGACCATGTCTGGTAACATGACCATCCAGTGTGTGAATGTGCAAGGCAGCCATACTAGGAGCCACTGAACTTTTATCAATAGCAAATGCCATTATATATTTCAGGCAACATGTCCAATTATAAGATTTAGGCTTATATATAGGCTAATACAGTATATATTATTATACATAAATACAAGGTGCATGTATATTTATACACATATCTGTACATAACTATTTTTAAAAGTTATCCCTAATGAACCCAATCTTTGACACATCAGAACAACTTATTAAAACCAAAATACTATATATAGCAAGGAAACAAAAATAAGACAGCCAGTTATTCGTGTGTGGCCCTTCACTCATTTCTACTCCAAAAAATACAACTTCTCTGGCCCACTGCAGCTAAACCATAAAAAATACACACTTTTCATTTGGAATTTTTTTCCTTCCTAGATGCTAGTTAACAATGTCAAAAGAAGAAATAATGTTGAGCAATTTATTTAATGTGCACCCGAGTTTTGCATGCCAAAATCGCTTGAGCAGCCAAAGGGTTAAATTCATTGTACAGTATTATCTCAGCAAGTACACAGCACGAGCTCATTGAATATGAACCTTACGATTCTAAGGATAAATGTGTCACAATTTGATTTTATCTCAAGCCTGCCTAATGACCACATAACAGGTCCAAAAGAATGTAACAGTGACTGGTTGGGAACCTGGAGCTGCCGAGTGTGTCACCATCTAGTTGAAGTTGGGGAAGCAACTAGGTAGCCCACCAACTAAACATCAGTCCCTCTAATGCCAAGTAGAACTTACAAGATCTTGATAATAATCTTGAAGTGTGTGAGTCAACTTTCTCTAATCCCTCTGGGTTGACCCAGTGTCTTCCTAGCACGAGTATAACTGGGAACATTTGTTGAAAATAGTTCCTGCTACATAAATGCACAATGATCCACTGCCTATTATGATCCTATTCTTAAGACACAGTAAACTTGCTTTAAGGAGCATCCCAGTGGAATTTGTGGAAGCCACAGTCTAACTGGGTTTCATTAAGTACATAACAAAGTTAATGCAAAGCACAATTAAACAATGGTCAGAAGAATCATACCTTAGAAGCTATACACAGGTACTTGAAGAAACGTTGGTGAGATGACCAGAATTGACCCCACATAGACTTTTTCATACCTTTTTCTGCATTAATTAATTCTGATGCTTCCTGGAATTTCTGTCGTGCATCCACCCACTGTGATCAAGAAACACCAGAAATACATTAATCACACAAGTGTAAGATAATAATGGATCAACAAAAAGTTAAAAATTCATACAATACAGGCAACTTGCAATATTATGTGGCCTTATTCTGCATGGCTCAAAAGTACATGAACAAATAATAGAAATAAAATACTCTACAGTCAACATTTGAAATTATGTGAAATTGTGTGGCAATTGACGTTATCGATACAAAGTCAATTTATTCTCCAAAACTTATAATTAGTATATTCCATGTTAATTAACCCTAAAAGGCTGGTTATTGTAACATGTTGATCCCAAGGTTATTGCAGTTATTGTCATTTGATGAATTTTGTTGATATCACCCATTTTTATACATTTTTTAAATATGGTTAAAATAATTATAATTAATTCATTTTGTCAGAGGACAGGCAGCCAGTTTATATATACATGTTAGGCTTATATTAACCCTTAAACTGCGCAACACGTCATATGACGTGTTGGAGTACTACGCAAGATTTAAACGGCCTGCGGATACACGGGGTTCACCACACCTTCATCAGGGCTCTTGTAAACAGACGCTATCTTTTAAAAAAATCATGGGACAAACTCCCGGGTGTTAGGGGCCTCAGTATTGAGTGAGCTACCAAGCCTGGCGCACGCAGCATGAGCTCACAGCACTGCTGTTCAGCTTGTGACCACAGCATCGCCTAAAAATGCCATAATATACTTGTTCATGCTATTATGTAGTGATGATATTATTACAGAAGACCCCTGACTGTCATAAAACTGACCAGGGTTCTGATAATAGCAGGATTGTGAGTGTGAGTGTTTTAATTATATCCACTCCTAGATCCTTCTATCTTTCTGATCCCCGCAACTGCCATCCATGTATGGTGTAGATGCCTTCTGGTCTCCTCTCCCACTTTCCCATCATTATTACCTTGCACTTACTGGGAGTGAATTCCAGCAATCATTTGTCTGACCACTCCTGAAATTTGTTAAGGTAGTCTTAACTTTCTGCAGTCCTCATCTGTTTTCACATTTCTGATCAGCTTTGCATCATCTGCCAACTCTGACATGTCTGCGCTTACTCCCTCCGGTAGGTCATTTACATAAATTAGGAACAGTAGTGGCCCCAGGAGAGAGCCTTATGGGACCCGGGAGCTGGTCGGCCGAGAGGACAGCACGCTGGACTTGTGATCCTGTGGTCCCGGGGTCGATCCCGGCCGCCGGCAAGAAACAATAGGCAGAGTTTCTTTCACCCTATGCCCCTGTTACCTAGCAGTAAAATAGGTACCTGGCTGCTTCCTGGTGGTGGAGGCCTGGTCGAGGATCGGGCCGCAAGGACACTAAAAAAGCCCCGAAATCATCTCAAGATAAACCTCAAGATGACCCCACTTGTTACATTTCTCAAGCTTGAAACCACCTCTGACTATGAGTCTTTGCTTTTTGTCCTTCAGCTACTCCCTTACCCAGTTCAGGTGTTTTCCCAGTTATCCCGGCCTGGTTCTCCATCTTGTAAAACTCTTTCATAGGGAACAGTGACAAATGCCTTTTGACAGTTTAGAAAAACACAGCCTTCCTTTTCCTGTCTTATTTTTAGTAACCTTGTCATAAAATTTAATCAAGTTTGCCACCTTGTCATAAAATTTAACCCTTAAGCTCCTAAAGGGTCCTGAGGAGATTTACACCCCTGTGCGCAAGATAAAAATCTAAAAAATTATTTCGTCTTCTAAAAACGTTAATTTGTGTTCCCTGAGCATGGGAAAAAAAAAAAAAAAATAGTAGGTGACATGTTTTGGGCGCAATAGACCGAGGAAATCTGGCAAAAAGTAGACGTTGACAGAGCGGTCGTCAGAGCCGGTCAGCGTCACCCGAGCTGACAGGTGGGAGTTGCCACAAAGATATTATCACTTAATTATTTCAATGTCTGATTTTTTCTTAGTTTTTTGCAGTATTATTATTCAATAGTGTGTATTGTGATATATTTATATAATAAAAGGGGTGAATAATCACTATACTCAAAAGTATGGTGTGCATATTAATGATTCAATTATTATGTTCATAAAACAATAAACAAATAGTTTTGCTGTTATTTCACTATATACACAGGTTATATATAAGTATCTGCATGTTTTGTTCACCATAACGAACCATTAAACTGGTATTGAGTGTCGAAAAGCAACGAGGAGTGACCGCCACACACCAGCCAGCCACTTGTTGCCACTCCCTCAGCAATGCCTCACTCGCCCACTTTCTCCTCCCACCATCCTGTTTTATATTTTATTCACAATATACAGATGTTATATATAAGTATCTACATGTTTTGTTCAACACAACTGTACAACTAAGCTGATATAGTTAGCTCAGGCCCAAAGAGTCGTCGCTACATACAGTCAGCTGACGGCTGCCTCCCACACTCATTCAAGGTCACAAGTACTAAATTTCTCCCCCAACAATACTGTTTGCAGTGTTATTACACTATATACATATATTATATATAACTATCTACATGTTGTATGCACCGTAACTGTACACCTAAGCTTGTAGTGCCCAAAGAGCATAGTGGCCACACAAATCATATTCGAGTACGAAACTTTCTAATATTTTTGGCACATTTGTTTCCTTTAATTTGAATTTGTGTCCTCTTGTTCACAAAATTGCTGGTTTCAGGAATTCCTTAGGAATTCCTCATTGTCAATTTGGTCTATCCATGTTATTGTTTTGTGAGTGGTGATCCTCGTAACTCTTGTTTTTCAGTTCTGGAAGCCATTTTGTAGCATGCCACTGCACCTTCTTCAGTTTATTTGTACGCTTCTCGAGATATGGGCATCATACAACTGCTGCATATTCCAATTTTTGTCTCACAAAAGTCGTGAACAGTTTTTGTAGTATTTCACCATTCAAGCAGTCAAAATAGAGTCTTAAGTTGGAAAGTGACACATGCGCTCTTCTCACAATGTTCTTTCCGTGTTCCTCTGGTGACAGTTTAGTATCCAAAATCACTCTAGATCTCATTCTTTATTAGAGTTCTTTAATTCCTTTCCACATAATTTACAAGTTGTGTGTGTGGTCTATTTACTCCTATTCCACATTTAATAAAATGACATTTATTCAAATTGAATTCCATTTGCCACTTGACGCTCCAAGCACTTATTTTATCTAGATCTATTTGAAGGGAATTAGAATTGTCTGTGTCTCCTATCTTCCCAAGTATCTTAGCATCATCCACAAACATGTTCATATAATACTGTATTCCTTCTGGTAGATCGTTTATGTAGACGACGAACATTACTGGTGCAAGAACTGAACCATGTGGTACTCCGCTAGTGACACCCTTCCAGTAAGATGCATTGTCTCCGATTACTCCTCTCATCTGTCTGTCGTTTAGAAATTTTTCATCCATGTCAGAAGTCTCCCACCTTTCCAGCATCTTTCAGTTTCCAAAACAATGACTTGCATTGGACTCTGTCAAAATCCTTTTTTAGCCCCAGATAAACACAGTCAACCCAACCATATCTTTGCTGTAGAATCTCTGCGGCTCTACCATAAAACTAAGTAGATTTGTTACACAGGATCTTCCTGCTAAAAAAACATACTGTGTTATAATGCCATTACTCTCCAGGTGTTGTACTTATTTAGTTTTAGCTATTTATTCTAGTGTTTTCACTACCAGTCTTGTTAATGATACGGGTCTATAATTTAGCAGATCATCCCTGCTACCATTTTTGTACATTGGAGCTATGTTTGCCTTTTTATATATATCTGTTAAGATTACTGTGCACAAGGATGTCTAGAATATCAATTGGAGTGGAATGCTCAGCTCAGATGCACATTCTCACAGCACCCAAGGAGCAACTCCAGAATGTGCAACTGAGCTGAGCATTCCACTCCAACTGATATTCCAATTGTGTTGCGGCTGGTGTTTTTTCTTCTTTGTGATACATGCTCTGCTCACTAACTTTGGTCGGTACCATTATTTTCTTTTTCCACGGATAGGTAGTTTTGGGGAGCCGCAAGAATACCTGAAATGCCAATTTCTGGGAGAGAACCGATGGATTCCTGACATCATCCCTCTCCTATTGAGTCTAGGGTGGCTTTTACCATAATCATAGAACTAAAGGTGGAGTAGCCAGCTGTCCTGGTCTGCTGCCCTAATCCCCCCCAAAGGAGGGGAGGGAGGGGGGGAAGCAAACAAGCTAGCACTAGTTTCATGAATTTTCGATAGTTTATCTATTTATTATTTTTTGAGATATATACAAGAGTTGTTACATTCTTGTACAGCCACTAGTACGCGTACTGTTTCGGGCAGGTCCCTGGAATACGATCCCTGCCGCGAAAAATCATTTTTACAACCAAGTACCCATTTTACTGTTGAATTAAACAGAGGCTACAGTTACGGACGTGCTTTACATCTTCGAGGAGTTCTTTTAGCATATTTGATGTCTTAATATTTTTTATAACCAGCAGTGGTCAGCTTTGTTTTGCTGACTTTGTGAGTGCTATTCTGGTGCTGGCAAACATGATTGAAATTCACTGAGTTATTGTACTGCCACTTCTCTCTACGCCTCATTAGATGGGTTAGGGACAGGCTATGGGTCATGGTCCCTGGTAGGCCTAAAAATACTCTGCAACTGACGGCATCTAGCAGGTTGGCACTAAATTGGCATTGTAGCTTCAGGGAGCCACTAGGGCTTACCCAGAAATTGGCATTTCATTACATTCAACACTAGCTTTTAGTACATTTGATCAATAGTTGCTTCAAGTACTGTAAGTACTCCTAAGATACTGTATTATCTTTGGAGGATGGCTTGAAAGATTTACCAAGTAATATAAATTTATTGTTTCACCTTTAAAAAAAAATTATAAAAAGTTAAGAAATTGTTACTTACCAATTTGACAGACTCATCATACATATGTTGAAAGTCTACATCTAAAGGAACTTCTTCTATTCTGAAAGATACTCCATGGAAACTTAATTGACGAGCAATGTACATCCCACGAAGCTTTAAGTCCATAGCCACAATTTCCATAGCACCAACACCCCTAGGAAAATACATTTGAAAAACATTTCAATAATTTGCTGTGTTGTAGTTCATCAAACATTCAGTACTTAATTTACATATAATAACAAACATTTATCATAAATCCTAAAATGAAAAGATTAAATAATTATTACACACAATAATGTTAATAAATAACCAGTGACCTTCATGAATCAAGATGCTAAAGAGTATCGAAGCTGTGGCTTTCTACTCAGGTCAGATTTCTCAGTTACAAGTAAACACTGCGTATCCATGCTACAATCATGAAAACCAAACAAAATAAACTAGTGTGGTTGAATTATGAAGGCAAAAGAAAAAGGTATCCCAAAGCACCATATCTCATGAGTGGCTTAATGAGTACCTATGACTGGTATAACATATTTCTGTTGACTACTTGATCAAGTGTGGTTGCTACTGGTTATAGTACAAAGGACATCACACCCTACACAACCCAGCTGATCTAGCACTTGCTGCAGGAGCCTTTCTCCTTACTTCCTTCCTTTTTTCTTAACACAATGATTAGGGTTTCGTAAGTGCTTCTACTCCCTGAGTCTGGCGAGGGGCCAGGCTCGATATGGTCTAGTGAGATAATCACGTAACCATGATCCAAGGTTAGCCTAGCATCACACATCTTGCAACAAGTTGGAAGTACACGCAATGAACCTATTTTTTTCTGCGTATCTTTATTGATATTACTTCGTTTCTCAAGTGCAGCGATGCATTGGGCTGTCAATGTTATTTGTATCACAAAATATGTAGATTGAAGGTACACGGATTTATTTGTGTCACATTCTTTGAACATTAAAACATGCAGTTTTGTTGTTATTACACTATATACACTCATATACAGCTATCTATATTTTCGGAAGATATAACGAGCCACTAAGTACTTCTGGTGGGTGTGGTAATGAAATCATAGTACAGTATAGAGCCACACACTGTGACCAGACTATGCCAGCAGATGACATCACCTGAGGCAGAAAAATGCCTTCAGTATTACTGCGCACATCCCGAAGTCTAGCCACATCATCATCATCATCAGATTCCTGTCCCTAAGTCATGAATATAAATAATTTTCCACAAGATTAGCTTCTAAAGGAACACGATGTCATGTTGCATGATGCACAGATTTTATCTTGAGTATTTATCTTGAGGTGATTTTGGGGCTTTAGTGTCCCCGCGGCCCGGTCCTCGACCAGGCCTCCATCCCCAGGAAGCAGCCCGTGACAACTGACTAACACCTAAGTACCTATTTTACTGCTAGGTAACGGGCATAGGGTGAAAGAAACTCTGCCCATTGTTTCTCGCCAGTGCCCAGGATCGAACCCGGGACCACAGGATCACAAGTCCAGCGTGCTGTCCGCTTGGCCGACCGGCTACCCCGGTCGGCCGAAACCTCAGCTGTGCTGTGAAAGTTTGCCTCCTCCTGTGATCATAATTAGCAACATGTTCAATGATATCTGAACCTTGTATATAGTTTTTTTTTCAAGATAGCATATGAATACTGGAGTTCTGCACAACAGGATGTGAGCCTCATGTACCCACAAAAGTTTTGAATCATTCCCTATAACTATAAACGAGTTTTCTCAGTAGGTGTACCATCAGTCAACTGTGATATCTGGGTATGCACAGGGCAGGAGTTAATTCAAGTGTATTATGTGACTTTACAACATTCTTTTTGTTCTTATTCCAGATTTTTTTTTAATGATAACCCTAAACTTGTATATAAATAACGGTTCGAGAAAACTTTGAAAATAAATAGATTAATAATATGTAAAGGTGGAATCAAAGAATAACTCTACAGTAGAGTGCTGCAGAAGGAATTATTGTCAGATAAGGATAAAACAAATACATACATGAACTTACTAAACTTACCTCTTTTCCACAGCACTAATAAAATCAGTGAACTCTGGAAATGGAGTACCTTTCCCCCAAATTCCTAAGCGAACCATATATGCCATGTTCTTGGGTTCAGAAGCACCTGTCGCAGATGCATAAACAACGCGAGCCTTAGGCAACTTATTCTGTAAATCTAAGACAGTCAATCCTGTTTTGGTTGGCTTTCCTGAACCAACTGGGCTTAGATTCTTGGCACGATGACATTCGTCAAATACAATCTGCAAACAAAAATTTGTTTTAAGAATTTACCTCTAAACACTTTTGTACATCAGGAGTGTGGGGACTTTTGTTGTTATTGTTGTCTAAATTGAACTAACTTTCAGTCACTAACCCAGCAATAAGTAACATATTATAATTATACTCACTGTCATAAGAACCTATTTATTGGGTTAGAACATTGATTTTAGAATCAAAATACTGAAAAATGAATGTCCTTAACTATACAGTAGACACAAAAGTGAAAATATTTCTATATAGCAATTATCTCTGACATTTGTTCACCTGGCAGTAAATAGGTACCTGGGATTAAGGCAACTTCTGTGGGGTTGCATTCTGTGGGGTTTGCATACATATTATACTGATTCACTGACAAACTACTAGGTGCAATTAGTCGCAGAGTTCTTATTGGACTACCAGGGACCACAAGCCAGAACCTGGCCCCACTCAAAGAGGTGCAGGGAGTAGAGTAGTACTCCTCCCACCATACTACACACAGCACTAATTATCACCACAATCCTGTTATTATCAGAATTCTGGTCATTTTTATCACAGTCAGGGGTCTTCTGTAATACTATCATCGCTAAATAATACCCGTTACATATATATTTTTAGGACATTTTTAGGCGATGCCGAGGTCACAAACTGAACAGCGATGCTCTTAGTTCATGCTACATGCACCAGCCTTGGTAGCTCACTTAGTACTGAGGCTCTCACACCCGGGAATGTTACCCACTATTTTTTGTAAATGGTGTCTGTTTACAGGCATCCTAAGACACATGATGCGAGCCCTGTGTACCCACAGGAGTTTTGAATCGATCCCTATACCTAAAAATGCCACATGGTGCTCTGCGCACCCTCGATCTGACACCACAGGCACTCTGTGCAGTGCAGTGGTTAATGAGTGCACAGGAAAATAAACTGAGCACATGCAGCTTCAAGCACACTACACTCCTGGCTCATGCTTCACAAACATGTATAAGAACAGTTTCAGAGGCAAAAACCCCAACTTGAAACACAGAAGACTGTAAATAGCGACTAGGACAGTGACCAGGCACCATCAGCAAAGAACTGAGGGTGGCATGAGCCAGTTGACCCAGTCAGCCTCCCTTCTTTCCCTAAACTAGGGAAAAAAAGGTGGGACAAACTAGTTCATACTAGCTTGGCAAAATTTTGAAGGGTTATCATCATAGTTGGAGAGGGGGGTGGTTCTTTAGACAATTTTTTAGGTCTTGTTTTAACCTGCAGCAGTTCTGTTTTGCTGACTTTCTGGGTGCCTTCATTGGTGGTGGCAGACATTACTAACTTTAAATGTAAGGTGTTCATATTGCCACCACTCCCTACGCCTTTTAGGGGGCCAGGTTCTGGCTCATAGTCCCCAGTTGGCCAATAAGAACTCTACGACTGATGGCACTGAATCCGTATACTAATAGTGTCAGGAAATCTTAAGAGGCTCCCACCAGAAAAGACCGATTATATGCCAAAATAGCTTTTCATATCCAAGAGGAAAAAATTTGAACTCATCAGTTTCTGGAATTTTTGTTGTTTTCTATGAACTGGTGCATGGGTTAAAGGTTTTTACAGTGCTGAAAACCAATGTTGTTACAATTCATAGTATTATATGAATACATTCTATATACTATATCAATCACTTTAACCCTTGCACTGCTCACCTATTTTCGGCAAAAACGTCTTGGTGCAATTGACAAGGACATATTTTTGTTATTTTTACAAATGTTCAGGTAAATTTAATGTCAAAATGTTTCCAACTATTTCCATTTCAAAACACAAATAGTAATGAAAACATTAAAAAACATTAAAATATAGCCAAATTAAAAAACAAAAAGCACAACTCTCCGAGCGCCTAAAGGCGCTTTGCGCAGTGCAGTGGTTAAAGAAGCTTCAGTTGTCGGAGAAATACTGGATTAATCTTAAATTTAATCTGTACTGTGCTCAACGTCAATAAAGTCAAACTTAAGGACATGTTAAGATATTTTTTTCTTTAGAATCCCTTTTCTTGAAAACCATGTTAGGTTAGGTTATAGATGGCCTTTCCAACTTTTATGATGATACTGAAACAAAGCTTTATGCAAAACGTGATCATTAACAATTAGCAAGGATCCCATTTACATAATAAAGTCTAGAGCTGAGTGCACTACACGAATCACATAATACAAATTTCAAGGAATGGCTCAACCTTAAGTACAGGGACTTGCAGTGCCCATTACTTATAAAATAACATAAGACATTCAATATGAGAGTAACAATCTATTTTATTCAGAAGAGACAATGATTTATATATAATGTAATTATACATGTACAGTACCCAACCTATTAACAATCAAGAGATTGACTTACAATAAACTAAGCAAAAATTTGCACATCTGTAAAACATCATAAGGTACATCTTCAATCCTTCTCTCTCAATGGGAAATATTCTTAACTAAAAGAATGGGAGTTATAAGCCCAAACCATTAACTATGTACAGCATTAACAGGTACTCACACAACCGTCGAAGTCATCACCGCACCAATTTAATATCTGTTTTAGTCGCGACTTGTATTTTCCTTGTCCACTAGATGATTCTCCAATGAGAGCTGAGTAAGTAGCAAATAACACACCCTTCTTCACATTTCCATTAAGGTCTGAATTTATCTTCCCATATTTCATTTTACTGAGAAAGTAAACTGAAATATGTCCACAACCAATATCTTTTAAGTCACGTTCTGCATCATATTTAAGATCATTTGACACCGACACCCATATAGATTTTTTCCGACCCTTAAGATAATTTTCGTAAATAATTCCTGCGATTGTGCGCCCTTTGCCAACACCAGCACCATCACCTGCAAAAAAAAAAAAAAATAAAATAAAAAATAAGAAATGATGTGGAATATAAAAGTAAGTAAATTGGAAGACTAAGCCTTATGTAGGTCTAGTCATACTGAAAATATTGGATACTAATAAAAGTGATTGAGAAGCCTCAAATAATCAGTTAGCACCACCATACTCACCTACACCACATTCAAAGATCATCATTATTATTATTATTATATGTGGAGAAACATCTGGACAATTGGTCAGTACCCATATTTATTGCTGCTGTATTACCAGTATTCTGTGGCATTTTGTTTAAAGTATCTAGGGAAATAATGTATTGTTATGTACTTTTGTACATTAAGTTATTAATTTTCGTGCCTGGGAGGAAATTTGACTACCTATTCAGGCACTACTACATATCCAATAGCAATTGGGCCCGAGGTGTACAAAGGGGAGGATGCCGAGTGTATATATAATGTGTGTGTGTGTAAAGTGTAATAACAGCAAAAGCAGAATGTTTTATTGTTCAAAGAACATAATATTGTGCGCACATTAGTGACATGAATATATTTGCGTGTACTAGGTACTACACATTCTTTGATAAATACAAATTTTTACACCCTACTAAATCATTGCACTTGAATAGGCCAGTGTAGTAACATTAAAAATATCAAGAAAATGTAATATATTTAACTTTGTGCACAATACGTGGGGCTAGGCTGAACTTAATCATGTAATGTGACTACCAAACCCACCAGAATTGCTTAGTGGTTCGTAATGGTGCATAATCATTTACATAATTATATATAACATGTATAGACAGTGTGAACAATAGCAAAATAAGCATGTTTTATTGTTTAAAGAATATTGTAGAAAATTTCCACCAAAAGGATAGTATAACATCTGAGTAACATGGTCTATGAAAGCACATGGACCAGGCATGGCTCTTTATAGAACAAACCAAGCTCTTCCAAGTGTTATATAGCTGCCTTTTGCCTATTTTAATTTTTACCGAGTGGTAAAGTGGTAATTTTCATTTAAGGCAGCTAAATGAAAGCAGCACCATTCTTCCTGGAATACCCTGAAACTGAGCCATCTAGGGAACACTGAGATAATACATACAGGTCTTACCCAACGAAGAAAGTAACAGTTTCCTAGTGGCCACTGAATATGACTACTATCACTGCAGACAGCTAACTTTGCTGTTATGTTAGTACAGTTTGGTACATCTTTATTTTCGGGAGTCAGAAAATTTATTATATATGTATCATTATATATATGTGCACATATATAATGTGCACATATTAGGCACACACACATACATCTGTGTATACAGTATTGGAATTCCACATGTTCTATTATAGAAATTTCTCAAATTACACACTATTGCACAATGTAACTGGAAAAACAAGTAAAAAAAAAAGTCAGAAAATCCGTGACACTGCCCAGGCAACTTCCATGGGGCGGCTCATCCATCAACGGCTGTGAGCTGTGAATTGTGATGTCATCACAAGATTTCCCCTCACCACCACGGCCAAAGCAAGCTATATAACCCCCCCCCCAATCCCCGTGATCAGGGAATGCAGTTCACAATATTAACACTTTCGCGCTATCTGGACGCGCCGGCGCGTTCGGTTTCGTCTAACGTAAACGCATAGTGGACATAAAGTTATGTCTACTTTTAAAATATTTGTATAAAATTCAATTTTTATCCGATTTACTTTGGGTTTGTTTCAAACTGCGCACTATGAGGCTCTCTTTCTCACCACTAGGCTGCATGGTACAATAAGTTCATGAAAGGTGTGGATAACTTCGATCAAATGGTATTTTGTCCCAAACGGGTTGCAGGTGGGTGACTTTAGCCGTTTATACTGGTAATTCTTCCCCCATATCATGTATTATATGCATATGTCTGTTTAGGGAATTTTATTCCGATCAATATACAACCAAAATAACTGTGTGCAACAAGTATAATCTTGACAAACATAACAAAAGTAAAAATATTTCGTGTGTGTTTGACGCTCACTGATATGTTCCAGCGTTGTTTTATATTTGTTGCTATTCTAACTTACGCTTTGTTGATATTTTTTACCTATGGGCACATAGAACATTCTATTGCGAACACATTGACATAAAAATGAATGACGTACATAGAAAATTAATGTCATGAGAGTGAAATAAGTATAAACTTTCAAAGCGCCGTGCATCGTCCCGTCACCAATACCGGGTAACAATTTCACCACTTCCCACACTCTTGCGGGCGGGCTGCATCATTATTCTACGCTTATATTCATATCACCGTGTTGGGAATTTCATTGCGAGTCCATTGATACCAAAATTAACGCTGTAGAACAAGTGTGGAGGTGATTACAATCCCAAGAGTAAAAACATTTTGTTGCTGATGGGCGCTCACGGCGAGTCATCTACGTAGTTATTTATTTGGTGCTTGTATCCCTATATGTTTCGTGACTTATTTTACTAATGTTCTTCTAGAGAATTTTATTGCGAACACGTTGGTACCAAAATGAAATACGTAGCATGAGAACTAAGGTCAGAAGAGTAAAAAGAGTATACACATTTTTGTTTTTACGCTTAAGCGATAAAAACGCAGCGCGCACATTCAGTTGGCTGAGTGACCTTTGCGGAGAGCGCGAAAGTGTTAAACAAAAACCTTTGGATTTGTCCATGCACATCATGGATTTGTCATATGTAACATGCAGGGGTTAAACCTGACTTTAACCAATGATGGTACTGAGTAGTGTTTAAATGAAGTATAATTTGTATAAATGTCTTCTCATTACTCTTTCTAGCACCTTGCATCAAATGCTTGTTTGTGACACAGATCTTTAGTTCAGTAGTTCCTATCATCTTCCTTTAATATAAACAGATACAATATATGTGTCATGCTTCCACATCCCATCAAAAACTTCTTCTAATTTACCGCAAGACTCTTCAGAGACAATGACCACAATAATAAATAAACTGTGAAACACCACACCATAACGCAAGACTTCAGAGACAATGACCACAATAATAAATAAACTGTGAAACACCACACCATAACGCAAGACTCAGCAAGATTCAGAGACAATGACCACAATAATAAATAATCTGAATCTTTGGAAGTATTCGGGATGCAATAATGACAATTTACACAGAATATGGTATGGTAGAACATGCACCTTCCAAATATAACAGCCCATCTTCCTGTTTTGATAGTACTTATAGGGAGGATGAGGACCATAGGATATATACCAATATACAACACAATTAGAAAGTAGAAACAGGTACAATTTAATGTGGACGAACCGGAAGACCATTTTCTATTTGTGTTGCAAAGACAAACTAAATTAACCTAACCTTCCTAGGCCTAATACACTATCTGAGGCCTAATATAGTACATGTGTGTGTGCTATATTAGGCCTAGGAATATTTAAGTTAGATTTTTAGCTTTATTTTTTTCGACCCAATAAAGGGAATAGTACAAAGTTCTACTATCTAATTAATTAGTACATAATTAATTAGTACATCAATTTTTGTACTATAGTGCAGTTACAAAAAGTACTATCTAAACAGGAGGATGGGTTGAATATAAATATATTATTATCAACCATTCTTGATAAATAAAAATGCAAAAAACCAGCGTTGAATGTAATGAAGTGCCATTTTCTGGGCGAGTCCCAGAGGCTCACCAGAGCTATTCTGGGCTGATATGCATATATTAGACCGTGGCATTCGTCAATTCGATTGGAATTCTAGCCTCCTGGGTTGACCCGGTTTTTCTCCTTCCCTGTTCCAGGGCTCAGGTCTCCCAGGTTGTCTGCAGTGTTATTCGGTCCACCCAGCCTGTGGTCTATCCTCGTGCCCACGACATTCGCAAATTTGCTGCTCTAGCAGCCGTTTTAGGTAATACAGTATATGTCTTGGGCTGACATTTGGGCGTGAGGATTTTCGAGGTTGAACAGGGTCCTGGCAGCCCGTTACCTCGTTAATGTTCCAGGCCCTAGTCGGGCGTATGTCACTTTGGGTTGCAGGTTGCAGCCAGTTGTCTCAACTTCGATGAAAGTGGTGGCCGCCTCCTGGGAAACTCCCTCTTTACTTTTTCTGTGGTTAGGTAGCTCTGGGAAGCCAGAGGGGCTCTCCACAGAAAACTAGCGTTGAATGTAATGAAACACCATATTCAGGGAGAGTCCCGGAGGTTCCCAGGGAGCCCTCCCTCCTTCTAGTCGGCGGTTTTTCGTGTTTTGATATTCAGCCTCTGAACTGAGGTTGGATAGCCAGTGCCAAGAGTCTGGGGCTCCCCCTTCCCCCTCCTAGGGAGAGGGGAGCTGTGCAGACAGCAGTGCGGCAGCAGTTGTGACATCATACTTGTTTGCTTGTGTTTAGATGGTGGAGTTCTGCTTGATAGTTCAGTTTTCGGTAGCAATTTTAATCAGGTAGAGTCTGTTTTGGGACACCTACCTTTCTGGGTGCCTAACCCGGTAGATGGAAGTAATAGAATGCTTCCAACCACCTGGGAGTTTCTATAGGCCATTTCTCCTCATGCCTCTCTGAGGGGGCCAGGTTCTGGCTCGTGGTCCCTGGTAGGCTAGAACTCCAATCGAATGACTGATGCCACTGCATATCAGCCTGGTATAGCTCCGGGCAGTCAGAGGGGCTCTCCACAGAAACATGTAAAGTACTGTACTGGATTGCAAAACTTACTAGGGGTATCATTTGCAACCAAGATTACTGTGATTATTTCCTGGAAGCAGGAAATAATCAATAATAATAGCAGTGTGTAGAAATTATACAGTAATTTAACAATTTTTTAAATTTTTTAAATTTGAATATTTTATAATTCAGTGAAAACTAGATGGTATTGAAAGAAATCAAATAAAACCAGAAAATTAACCCAATGCAATTCACAAATTACCAATTCTAAAATACCTAATGATGACTAAATGGTTAAACTATCATAGGTATAGGACCACAATGAGTAGCACGTACCTATAAGGAATCCTGCCCGGGTTCCATCTGGTAGAAACTGTTCATGCTGCTGTGAGGCATATGTGATGCTCTCTAGCTGTAAAGCTGAAAGCTTCCCCGTATCAATTGAGGAATCAGGAATGTCCATGTCGTACCATACATCAGGTGGCTCAACTGATGACATTGATGCTGTTTCCACCACCTGGTCAGGGTGCTTGATGCCAACTTTCACTATAAAGAAAATAATATTAATCTAGTTATATTGTTTTTTGAAATCTTAAAATATGTGAAGCTTTAAATATATAGTAGAAACCTATAGTGAGAAACCCTTTTCTGGGTAAGTCAATTGAGTGCCTCCCTAGAGCAAAAACCTCCTACCCTCAGGACATGTACAGAATATGCAGTCAGGGTAAATGAACAGTCTGCAACTGTGCATCATGGATTTACTCAAATTGTTCCATGTTGGATTATACTGGCAGTAGGGAGACACTGGAGAGTACTCAATGCAGCCTAGAATGATGGTCAGAAAACACATTCCAAACAACTCAAAAACCCTTCCAAACACTAACAGGCTGCCAATTAGCACATGCAATTTTCTGGTTGCTCTATTCAGCAAAATCCAGAAGCAATACCCGAAAAATACAGAACAGGGTCCACCAACTCCTCGTACCTTATTATCTTACTAAGCTCCAAACAAACCACCTAAGCCAAGGAACTACCTCGATTGACTGTTGTCATGGTCCAATATATACACATCAGCCCATTGTAGCTCCGGGAAGCCGAAGGAGCTCTCCACAGAAAAAGACATCACTTGGTTGCAAAACACTATTCACAGCAAAAGAGTTTCTAATGGAAAAACTTACACTTTGTTGGCATGTAGTCTGAATATGTTTCTGCAATACCCATATCATCATCCTCCTCTACTTCTTCTTCTGGGTTGGGTTGGGCCATCATCAGAGGGTTTACTTGCATCCCCATCTGTCACAAAGGAATAAATATATATGAACAAAAAATCATCAAAGACCAGTTTATAATATAATATAATACAAAGACCAGACTTTGATGACAAAAAAATCAAAGATCAGTTTATAATACTGTACAGTACTAGAAATAATTCATGCAACTATAGCATTCTAAGAAACAGATGAGCATGAAAATTTAAAATACTGTATTTGTGTTCTTATTCTGTAAAAATGAAATGGCAATTCAAGTACTTAGTCATCAACATTAGCTAATTAAACCCCCCCTTTTTCAACTAGAGTTAACACATATAAAATGGTGAGAAAAACTTTTAGTTTAACTTAAGCCATCCACTTACACTAAACTTGATACAACACACTACTACTAAAATTAGATATGGTACAATCTCACGAGGGCAATCTAGAAGAGTACTCCCAAGCCGGCATATCTCAGGGTACAAGCAGGATGGTGGAATGAATACAGGAAGAGTAATGATTGCCCAATAGTGTAATGAGTAATGGGGTTATAATGAATTATAAACATAATTAGTACAGAATGGGGAGAGGAATCCAGAATGCTGGAAAGAACACAGATTTATGTAATTAGCAGAAACTAGTGTAACTAGACTGGCACATACTAGTACACAGTAGGTGTACTAGTGTGACCCAGCCCAAACTTACTAAGAGAACAGTGTAAAGTGGTGAAGCTTTTTGCCACACCCAAGGCATCGGAACCAAGAGTAACTTGAACTATCATGGCCAACATCCATTAGCCAAAGAAGCGTTCAATATCTAAGTCAAGTTCCCAAGAGCACTTGAATGTTTTTTAACAATGCATGTACATGTGAAATATTTAGGGAGAGGACACGCTGAACAAGCACAAGTTAGTGAAAATGAACATTGTAGAGATAAAGGGTAAAATGAGGAGGGAGGAGACAAGGCGAAGGGGAAAAAATTGACCAAGTGATGGAGATGGACTGGTTGTATGTGTTCTGTCATGGCACTAACTAGGTAATTGTATGTTGAGTGACAGCTGGATCTTTGGGTCACCTTCAAGATACTATACCCAGTGAAAAAAACACTAAATACACATAGGAGATGGAAATGAACAAAGCTGTTTAAAAACAGTTCCTTAGAAAATGAATGAAATTTACAACACTGTGAGGCAACTTTACATCTAGTAAATAGCTCAGCAATATACATTTTCCTACCATATCTGGTGATATTAACTTTCCAATGATTCTACTAAGATATTACAGTATTATTAAAAGATATACAGTGGGGCCTCAATTTACAATGGTAATCCGTTCCCAGAGACGGATTGCAAGTCGAAATATCATAAGTCGAAGTGATTTTTCCCATAAGAAAAAGGGAATTGAATTAATCCGTTCCTCACCCTCCAAAATATTAACTTACAAATACATTTTATACTGAATACAATTTTTTTTCTCTAACTACAAGACAGTACAAATGTTTATCTTACCTTTATGGAGGACTCTTGATGGCATATGGAAGATGGTGAGGAGGGGGGAGGAGGGGGGAGGAGGAGGAGAAGAGGTGTTACTGTTTGGAAGGAGTGTCCCTTTCTATTATAACATCAGGCAGTGAGGACGTCTCTGGGGTACACACACTGGCATGTTTTGCCTGCATACCACTAGGACCTGCTTCTGGCTCTCTGCTTGATTTTCTCACTAGAAATCGTTCCATTGAAGATTGTTCTTCCCTTCTTTCCAACACTTGTCTGTAGTGAGGCATCCCATTGTCATTAAAAAGATCAATGCTAAGGGCTGTTACAGCTTTATCTGGGTGAATCTTTTCAGCAAAACTTTGCCGTCCTTCCCATACTACACACATTTTCTTAATTAATCAAGAAGGGACATCCTCTCATGCCGCCGCCGCCTCTGAAGATTTATTGTACTGCCTAGCTAGTTCAACAACACTAGTACTATTTTAATGTTTACATATAACCTCTTGTTTTTCCTCTATGGTCATTCTTACATGTCTTCTCATATGTTGAACCTTACCGCTGACTTTCTTGAGACCCAAGGCTTGATATATAATAATCAGTCTAATGTTCAAAAAGCAAAAAATCACCACAAAAACGGAATTTCTTATAGGTGTGATCGTCACTAAATGGGCAGCTCTAGTAAATTGAGGCAGGTCGGCCCGCGTGACCAGGAACCACATGCTCGGTCGCCCCAAACGTGTACCAACAATTATTGTTAGTCAACGACACTATCGTAAGTCGACTCGCATTTTTCGATCAAATTTACATTGTAACTCGAAATTATCGTAAGTCGGGGCAATTGTAAGTCGAGGTGCCACTGTACATTATTTAACATCTTCTTTACCCCATTGTTGATATTTTTGTCAATACAAAATAAACATTAAAAATAAAAATTATTATTACCTCATGTCTTGTCTTCCAGGGCCCCCAGGCATCAGAATTTGAATTAATTTGAGTAATGTCTTCGAGTTTGAAATTAAATGGAGCAATGACGAGGTTTCTGATTCTATTTTCTGACCCTTTGCAGCTCTTCAACATTTGCTTCTGTGTCTTTATGCATGTGAATGCAAGCTCCAAAGTAAATGGCCAGCAACACTGAGTGCACACTCCTTGTCTAAAACATTTGTCTATGTGCTCTAAACACTTTAATTTCTTATATAATCCATTCACAGAGTGTGCAACCATTTTAAGATTCATTAAATATTCAAGGAATAAAATGTGTTGGCGACCCATTTTAACATTATTGTACTCTGGAGCTTTATTTCGTATTGTTTTGTTATATACTCTTTCAAATATCTTACGAAAATCAATACTGTCAATATTGGACAGTAAAATGCTACTGGAGGCTTTCAACTTGTTTTCAAAGGGCTTTTGGACTAAGCTTTTCCTCGATTCATCTTTACGTATTTCTTTGACTATTTCAAGGAAGTCTGCATCTTTAATAGATGAATGCACCCCATGACACTGTCCAGACCAATTGATAATTTGTATTTGGCTTAACTCATCATCATTTGAATGTATAATATCAGGAGCATCATCGGTCAAATCCACTGTATCAACATTATAAACATTTCCATTTTTACACACAGCCAAATCTAAAGTCTTTGCAGCAAGGCGTTTTTCACCTACTTTTGAGTATGTAACTTTAACATCCGAGTACAACTCCTCATCAGAACAATCGAGAATAGACAGATCATCCTCCTCTTCACTCTCAATTCTTGAAGTAGAAGAATGTTTTTCCTTGTAGTAGTACGACTGTTTTTCTTGGGCTAGGTCCCCATATTTTGTATTAACAAATATGGAGGGGGCAGGGTTATATGGAGACTGGTATGCGTTCAAATCAGGAAGACTGTCATCATCTTCAAGGTCAATATATGCTGTTTTATACCAAGCTGCTGCGTTTGCATTTAAATTTTCCTTTGAAGTTCTAGGAAATACAGGCGGAGTCAACTCACAACTGTTTAGTGGTTCAATTATTTCACAATCAGAGTCGTTATCCATTTTCACCACAACTTTAATTTCAAATAGCCTGTCCAAAACCAAGCAAACATTATCATATTCACCATCCTTAACCAGGAGCAATGACAATGTGTAATCAAAATAAATGTTTATGCTGCCAAATTTAGTACTGTAAATAAAATGTTGATCAACAGAGCTAAATTATCTACTGAAAACATATCCCAAATATCTAAGGTAAATTAAAATTTAAAATCAGGAGTTAACTGAATTTTCTAGTGGGAACCAGTTGCCCACACACTTCTGCCCTTCAACTTGGCTCAACCCTACTATCCTCTGTTGCAAGTTGAAGACAGCCCAATGCACTACATGACTTTTTTTTTTTTGTTACTTTAACAACTCCCACCAATGCATTCATTCCACTTGCTGACTACTCACCTACTCATACAGGTCATGAAAACTTCCTTACATCTCCAGGACTGAAGTGCATGTCAAATTTTCCTTTATGTCCCCTTGTCCTACTTTTTGTTTAGATTCAAATATATTTTGTACTGTACATAGTGATCTTATCCCTCTGTTTCTTCTCTCCTCTAAGTTTTTAAGTTCAAGTTCCATCAATCTGTCCTCACAGCTGAGCCCTCTTAATTCTGGTATTAATCTACCTGAAAACCTGAGCTTCCTCAGGTTTCTTTTTGTGCTTCACAGAAAGTGGGTTCGAAGCTGGTGCTGCATACTCAAGTAATGGTTTCAAATAAATAATGTATATGGAACTGAAAATCTCTTGTTTAGATTCTTAAATGTGTCCTTATGCCTGCTAACTTCCAATATGCTGCTGTTGATATCCTGTTTATATGAGCTTCCAGTGTTAGTGTTGTGATTATGTCTACTCCCAGGGCTTTCCCTCTTATTTCTGTAATTGCTTTTCCATTACAGTAAAGATAAATGAAAGTCTTCTATCTCCCTTACCCATTTTAATTACTTTACACTGATCTGGATTGAATTCCAGTGGCCATTTATCTGGCCCCTCCAATAGTATGTGAAAGTCTTCTTTCAGCACCCTACAACCTCTTCAGCTCTTACTCTCTTCATTAACTTTTCATCAACATTCATGTTGATGTAAGATGACTAATTGAAACAGATGACTCTGTTTCATCTGCAAACACTGACATGTACGAGCTCTCTCTCTCCAAGTGACCACTTACATAAATTAGAAAGAACAATGATACTAGGACAGAGCTTCAGCCTGACATATCCTGACTATGATCCTTATGTTTCCTGTCCATCGGTTGCCCCAGAATCCAGTCCAATACCTTTCCTGTTATCTCCATTTCTCTCTCAACCGTATTAGTCTTTTGTGAGGAACTATAAAAAACTGTATGGCAGTCCTCCTCTATGACCTCTTTTGTCATAGAATTCAATAACATTTAACCACTGCACTGTGGAGAGCGCCTTGAGATGCTGGATCGAGCACCACGTAGCATTTGTAGGGATAGGGAGCGATTCAAAACTCCCACGGGTACATGGGGATCACATGTGCCTCTGGACTCCTGTAAACAGATCCCATCGTGGAAAAAAAAAATCATCATCCATGTTGGCTGCGAGAGCCTTAGTACTGAGAGAGCTACCAAGGCTGGCGCATGCAGGAGCCGCGCAGTGCTATGGGCGCCACATGATGAAAATGGGTGAGTGTGTGTTTTTATTACATCATAAGAGGAAGGTAATTACAAGAAACAATAAGAGAAATTGACCTAGAAGAGATAATCCCAATATTATCTTCAGAAGCTCATGTGAACAGGATAACATCAGCAGCATATGGGAATTTAGCAAACACAAGAACAAAATTTAAGAATTTATACAATGAGGCTATGAAGTTCACACACACAGCCCATGTGAGACCATTACTTGAGTATGCAGCACCAGCATGGAACCCACGACTTGAGAAATTTGAGAAGATTCAGAGGTTTGTAATTAGATTAGTACCAGAATTGTACTTCTGGTACTAATAGAAATACTAATTCTGGTAATCGACAAAGTGGACAAATGAAGCCTGTTTAAATTAAACAGAGGTAGGGATAAGGGGAGATCAGTGGAAGTTGTACATGCAATTGTGTCGAGGTGATGGAAGGAAGTTTTCGTTCCATGTGCAGGTGGTCAGTAAGTGGAATGCATTGAAGGAAGAAGTTGTTGAAGCCATTTCCATCTACAACGTTAAGAAAAAATATGATGAAAACATTAATATTAAGAGGTACAGTAATTATCATGTCAGGTATAAAAGATTAGCAGGTGAGGCATAGAGAGAGATCTTGCTCCTCCATGGTCACTGGTAGATAAGCACTGATAAGTACTGGAGCTACTAGCAATATCTGCAAGTTTCCAGATGAAACAAGGACAGAGCATGGAGTGAATACAAAATGAGAGGCTGATAAACCATTGAAAGAAAAACTAGTGCCGAGTGGAAATATTACAAATGTGGTTTAATTTATTGTTAAGAAATGTAGTAAAGCAGTACTATATACAGTACATAAAAAAAACATCAAATTCTGAGAGACTTTGGGGGGTCATGTTTAGCAGCGACCCGAGGCAGAGACAAAAATACTGGGATTTATAAGCAACATAAGCAACAGAAGAATTAATATTTTCAGCTGTATCTAGCACTGGTTAAGCCCCACTGTGCAGCTGTGGTTGCCGGCACTGCCACTATGAAAACAATCACATCTCTATTGACCAGGGTGATTTTTTAGCAAGAGAAAGAGGAGAATGGCTAAAAATGTCCAGACACTACCACCAACTCAGTCAAATGCTGGAGAGGACGCAAACACAGTGGCCTCCTTACCAGAGCCTCAGATATTAACACCAAGTAAAGCATCCAGCACTTCCACAAACATGATAACTTTTTTATTTGCCAACATCCTGGGTATAAAAACCCACATGCAAATCTAACAAAGTTCATTTTGTAGATGGCTTCCTACACGAGGCAAATGCAGTGTTTGCAGCCCTAATGGAAACCCACACAAAGGACTTCCAATGATGGTGAAATATGGATCTCAGAGTACAATCTTTTCAGATGTGACAGGAAGCACAGGTTACAGGGTGGGGTCAGCCTGTACATCAAAGACACACTCATCTATATTGACCTGTTAACGCCACAAACGATATGGTGGAAGTGCTAATAATCAAAACAGAAATCCTAAATGTAGTTATTGTCCTTCTATAAAAGTCACCAGAGGCAAATCCTCAGCAGTTTAAAGATCAACTAATGAAAATAGAACACTGCATAGAAAACCTCACAAATCCAGCCCCGAACATCATCCTGCTTGGGGACTTCAACCTACGGCACCTGAATTGGAAGCACTTAACCAATACAGTTATATCAGAGAGAATACCAGGAAGTAGCCTAAATGAACAGTCACATGCAAATAATCTGCTACGGATGTGCCACAGATTTGCCTTAAACAAGCAAATAGTAGAACCAATTAGAAGAGAGAACACGCTGGACCTCATTTTCACAAATAATGATGAATTGATCAGGAACATAATGATTACAAATACCTGTTACTCAGATCACAACCTAATTGAAGTTCTGACAAGCTTGGGGAATACCTTCAAAACCAGTCCCGAATCCCAGGGGAGGAGAATTCAGCAAATATTAATATAAACAGATTAACCGTAAGCAAATAAATCAAGATCTCACAGAAATAAGCTGGGAAGAACAGCTAGAAAATGCAAACCTGAACCAGTGCCTGGAAAAAATAAACTCAGTGGCTTTAGAAATATGCTCAAACTGCATACACTTACAAAAAAAAGAAGAGATGAAGACTGAAACGGGAATAGCATTCCCTCTATAGGCAAAGAAAATGAATTGTGGAACAACCCGAGAGTCACACCCTAACTCAAGAACAACGAAGGAGGCTAGGTAGAGAAACGGAAACGACAGAACTAAAGCTACAGTAATTGTACAAAATCCAAGAGGGAGAATGATAGCAAAAGACCATCAGTGAAAGAGAGAGAAATCCAAAATATTTTTTCTATGCAAAATCAAGATACAAAACTACATCTAGAATCGGGCCCCTGCAAACGGGAAATGAAACTTTCACAGATGACAACAAAGAAATGAGCGAAATACTGAAGAATCAGTATGACTGTTTTCAGCGAGCCACTAAACACATTAAGGATGTGATGCCAACATAAAATCAAATATCATATCATCTTATTCCCCATTGGATTTTGAAGAAACCATAGACAGTATGCCTATGCACTATGCTCCAAACACTGATTCTTGAAACTCCATATTCATAAAGAATTGTAAACAAAAAAAAACACTGTCGCAGGCCCTTCACATTCTTTGGAGACAAAGTCTAGATACAGGCGTTATCCCTGACATACTAAAAACAGCAGAAATAGCACCACTCCATAAAGGAGGAAATAAACCATAGAGACAAAAAACTACCGATAGCACTAACATCACACATGCAGATGGCAACAGGATTTTTATGAAAGTAGACAACAGAGGAACGAAGAAAGAACCTTTAAAGAACACAATAAAGTAGCTGTCACAACTGTAAGACAACTGACATGTTGGATAATAAGAACTTCTCAAACTAGAGATGCTATACCAATGATACTCTTCAATATGATGCTAGTGCTCTCTAGAGCACTAGCGTCATAATGAGAGCTCTGTCATTGTGCAACATATTGTTGCACAATGACAGCCCCTTAAAAAGCTAGAGAAATTGTTGACCTGGAGAGTATGTAGAGATCCTTTACTTTTAGAATCCACTCAGTAAAACATCTAAACATTTGGGACTGACTAAAATGCCTAAATCTGTATTCTCTTGAGTGCAGGCATGAGAGATGCATAATAATTTACATGTGAAACATACTAAGGTGGCTGGTCCCAAAACTGCACACAAATATAACATCACATGAGACCAGAAGGCATGGCAGGGTGTGCAGAATACCCCCATTGAAAAGCAGAGGTGCAACAGGTACTCTGACAAGAGAACTCTATCAACATTAGAAGCCCAAGACTTCTTCTTCTTCTTCATAGTAGGTGCAGTTTGCGTGAAGGGTTTGTCCTCCCGATGACTGCTGAAAGCCCAAGACTGTTCAACACGCTTCCACTACACATAAGGGCACAACTGACCGACCCCCTCACAGTGTTCAAGAGAAAACTTGATAAACACTTCTGCTCGCAGCCGCATCCAACAGCCTGGTTGACCAGTCGAGCAATGAGGAGGCCTGTTTGAGAACCGGGCCATGGGGACACTAAGCCCTGGAATCATCGCAAGCTAACCGCAAGGTAAGCCATACTTCAGAAACGCCATATGACCCTTTAGAGAAAATACTGCACAAAACCATCACAAGGTATTAAGATATCTGGTATCAGGGATCTTTCACATAGAGACAGACTTAAGTGTCAATCTACACTCACTAGACATTTACAGGATAAAGGAGAATATGATTGAGGTTTACAAGTGGCGAAGGACAAAGTTTTTAAACTATTGAAACAAGTGATCCAGCAATTTCCTTTCTGGGGAGATAGAGAAGTACTGGTTTCAAAATAGTTATGAATGAGTGAAATGGGCAGCCAGCTGGTACCTGGATTGTACCTGGATGGGGTTCTGGAAGTTCTTCTACTCCCCAACCCCTGCCCGAGGCCAGACTTGACTTGTGAGAGTTTGGTCCACCAGGCTGTTGCTTGGAGTGGCCCGCAGGGCCACATACCCACCACAGCCCGGTTGGTCTGGCACTTCTTGAAGAAATCTATCCAGTTTTCTCTTGAAAATGTCCATGGCTGTAACGGCAATATTTCTTGTGCTCACTGGGACTAGTATTATTGAGTCAAGTGACAATTTTCACAAATGGATTGGATAGGTATATGAGCGATGTGAATAGGTATATTAGAGGGGTGGACGGATCCTGCTTAGTATGGACAAAGGAGTCTGTTGTAGTGCTCCCTAATTCTTAAGTTCTAATTGTGGGTTGAGTTCTTTCATTGGAAATCCTTAATCTAAGCTGAAGTAGCGAATGTCCACATGGCACCAGCTGCTTGAAGGCTTTTATCATCTTCTCTATTACATCACATTAATAACAGCACTTTTCAGGACCAGGCTCATCCACTTTTTCTAAACATTAAATATTCCTCATCAAAATATATTTGTCAGAGTGTCAACCATTATTATTTAGCGTGTACACGTCAGTGTGTACCACAGATGAAGAGCAGCCCCCACACTCCCATAAGGATGAGACAATACAGAGAGAGCGGATAATATCCAGCCACCACGAAGGGCTGGAGCCATCAGTCGTGTGGAGGACTGGCGGCCAGCCTGTGTTTACACTCCCCCCCCCCCCTTCACACCTCTCAATATCTTACATTTATTTCCACTCAATTAGAAATCGATTCGCCTATTTTTAATAAAGGCTGTAATTATAGACAGGTCAGTTTCTTAAAATACACAAAATCAAACGAAATCTAAGCTGAATAATTTAGTGTAAGCGAGTAATATAAATATGTTGGGGGGGGAGGGAAGCCCCCGGGGACCCCCCCACCCACCCCGACCAGTCAGCTGGTCGCCAGCACCACGTGTTTTCACCCTCATGTATACAACTACAAATGTATCCCGCTTTTCCATTCATATACACTTAAGAGGTTAATTTACACCTAGAGTATATGCACAAGTCAAGTATTATTCCTAGTTCGATAGACGACTTTCGTAGTGGCATTAATAATTCTCTGATGGTTATTAATCAAACACCAAACCAAAGGTGTTCTCATTGACTTAAAAATAATACCCATCTTCTAATACTGTAAAAGTCTACAATTCAGAACATATATACACCCAGAAGTGTTCTCCGCGGTCAGTGTATATCAACTAACAATTTACATACGGCCTCCCGTATCTCCAAGACTGGCCGGTTAGCGATTTAAGTTGGTGTGACCTTAATAGTCCTTCAAAGGTTCATAGTCTTTAAGCCCAATATCAAACAAAACTACAACTATTAATATAATACAAAATAGCAATACACATCGAACATACTTAATACAACATATTTTAAATACTGCTACATGATAATTACCAGTACTTGAATAATATGGGGCTAGATTTAAAAAAAAAATTCTTCACATCGAAACATTATTCACAAAACAACTTGCGTCGTAATTTCAATTATAGAGTTCAGTTTGGGTCGCCGTGCCGTAGAACGGATATAAGTTCACCAGAACGCGTCCAGTGTTCAAGTGTAGGATGACAAAGTTCATCCCTCAAATTAGAAACCTGTCATATGTCACCCCCAACATCGTCGTCATAACATCTCCACCCCTAACATCGTCATCATAACATCTCCACCCCCAACATCTTCATCAAAACATCTCCACCCCCAACATCGTCATCATAACATCTCCACCCCCAACATCGTCATCATAACATCTCCACCCCCAACATCGTCATCATAACATCTCCACCCCCAACATCGTCATCATAACATCTCCACCCCCAACATTGTCATCATAACATCTCCACCCCCAACATCGTCATCATAACATCTCCACCCCCAACATTGTCATCATAACATCTCCACCCCCAACATTGTCATCATAACATCTCCACCCCCAACATCGTCGTTATCACATCTCCACCCCAACATCATCATAACATCTCCACCCCACCATCGTCGTCATGACATCACCTCCAACATCGTCATCATAACATCTCCAGCCCCATCATCGACGTCATAACATCGCCACCCCAAAAATCGTCATCATAACACCTCCACCCCCAACATCGTCGTCATCACATCTCCACCCTCAACATCATCATAACATCTCCACCCCCAACATTGTCGTCATAACATCTCCACCCCCAACATCGTCATCATAACATCTCTACCCCTAACATCGTCATCATAACATCTCCACCCCCAACATCGTCATCATAACATCTCTACCCCCAACATCGTCATCATAACATCACTTCCAATATCATCATCGTAACATCTCCACCTCCAACATCGTCATCAAACCACCCCCAACATCGTCATCATAATATCTCCACCACCAACATCGTCATCATAACATCTCCACCCCCAGCATCGTCATCATAACATCTCTACCCCCAGCATCATCATGACTACTCCACCCTTAACATCGTCATCATATCTCCACTCCCCAGCGTCATCATAACTACTCCACCCTCATCATTAACATTACATCTCCACCCACAACATCGTCATCGTGACAACTCTACCTCTAACATTACCATTATCAAATGTCCACTCCATCATCATTATAACAACCCTACCCTCAACATCATCATGACAACTCCACCCCCAACTGGAGGTTGAGTTCTTACGTTTCAAGCTTAGTTCTTACATTTCAAGCTTAGGTTCTAATGTTTCAAGTGTAGGTTCTAATGTTTCAAGTGTAGGTTCTTATGCTTCAAGCATAGGTTCTTATGTTTCAAGTGTAGGTTCTTTTGTTTCAAGTGTAGGTTCTTATGTTTCAAGTGTAGGTTCTTGTATTTCAAGTGTAGTTCTTATGTTTCAAGTGTAGGTTCTTGTTTCAAGCATAGGTTCTTATGTTTCAAGTGCAGGTTCTTATGTTTCAAGCATAGTTCTTATGTTTGAAGCAAAGTTTGTTTCTTATTTGTTTCAACTTCAAATTCCTCTGAAATTAGACTCGTGCCCAAGATGCAACAGGCATTTTCCTCTCTGAATCACAACACCGAGGTGCTGGAATAAGACGCTTTTCACTCTCTGGTCTTTTGTAACATTGATCAATTTGACGCCCAATTCTTTCAGGAACTTCAATGCACATTTTCCCTACGAACCGAGATTCTCCAAACTTATTGGAACAAACCTGTAGCAGTGTACCAGACTTCTGTATTTGAGGGCTTTCTGCATTTACCTGAAAGAAGCAGCGCCACCTCCTTCGCTTGTGCTGTGTTGGAGGTAGGTACTGGCCAGTGTGGAAGCACATGTGTAGTCCCACACCACTTGCTTACCATCCTTCCAAGGATGCAAGGTGATCCCATCCAGGCGCATCTGAGGTTCGTTGAGTCTGAATAAGTGTGGTTCTCTTTGTGCTGGGCAGCAGGCTGTGGCGAGGCTCCTCTTGATGATGTCATTGACTTCATGTCTCCTGTTTCCAGTAATCTGTTATACACCATAGAGAGTGGCCCACTTAGTGCTCCTGCACCCTTTTTTAGTATATTATATGCCCAACAGCCATTGCCTCAATTCAGCTCCCAACAGATTCCTTTTGACCTCATCACTGGTGAGTTCAAATCCCCCCCCCCTTAAAAAAAAGCTGAAATTCCTCCAAGGTTCCTTGGTTTGCCGCCTCCTCTCTTATTACAAGGGCTTATCCTTGCTCTATTGTGAAGACGATCTGGGAATCTCTTGTTGAGTTCTTCACACACCTACTTGTCATTCTCTGTGGCTCTTTTCTCCCCTTTTCTAAGTTTCATCACTTTTTCCTTCACTGAACAAGTGAAGGAACATGTTTGAACACATTTTAAAAAATGTTTGAACACTATGGTCATAATCATATTCCTTCCCTTCCATATTCCATCCCAAATCCTTATCCTGACCCCTTCCAAGTGCTATACAGTGTTAATGGCTTGGCATTTTTTCCTCATAGTTCCCTTCCCTTCCCTTCCTTTACTGATGTTTTACTCCTGATGTGGCTGTAGAGCAGCTTTGGTTGGGTCTTGGCTTTACTCGTGATGTCATTTTCATACTGTCTCTCTGCTTCTCTCCTAACCCTGAGAGTTTGAAAGTTTTCAACTTTCCCTGGCCACTACTGAAGCCCAGAGGAATTACTGACCCACGTCAGTAATTCCACGTCCATGTCATATAAATTGCCATCCACACCTCCGTGGAAAATAAACATTCCATTCACCTGGACTGTTATGACGTGGATGTGGGTCAGTAATTCCTCTGGGCTTCAGTAGTAGTCAGGAAAGTTGAAAATTCCAGTTTGGCAGCAGGAAGTTGCTTCTGGAAATTTCCCTTTTTAAGACTGCTCATAGCCCAGTTAATAGTGCTACGGCCTTATGCGTGGGGTCCACGAAGGTTTGGGACACATACAGTACAGGTGAATAAAATCTTTCATCGAGGTTTTTTTTAATTTTGTTTTCAAAATTGTCCACGATGGACAAGTGTTATGCTGACACACTAATGTGTGGGTTTAATGCTTATTAACAAGTAAAATAGAGCATATGTATAATTTATACCCATAATATTCAATTGGGACAAACATTTATCAACTTATCATAAAAACTTTGAAAAACCATGGGGATTAAATGAAATTATTCAAGATTACATTAATTTGAACAGTAATGTTACTCTGCCTACATTACTTTTACCGAATGCTCAAGAAAACTCATATAAACCAGTAACAAATTACTTCTGATGATGCAATTACAATTTCAACTCCTAAAACATGCAGATAAATATTTGTTATACAAACTAAAATTTTAAGCCAAAAGAAATAAGCACACAGGTTGGCAATGGGACCCCAATGTTCTCAATTACACAATTTATATGCCAAACTTATGTTAATACAAATTTAGGTGCCAGAAAATAAGCAAATATTTTGTAAATAAATTTTATACCAGGTAAATTCCATGCTGTAATGTGAGAACATGATGGAAAGCCCGCTAACAATGGTGTACCACTGAAGCACTGCAGTGACTAGCTCAGTCTCAGCTCAAGATACACCAAGGTATAGTACATTCTCTCTACAACACTAATTTGCCCAGTGAGACGAGTAAAATATTGTAATAATTGTGTGAGCATGTCCATACATGCCACGGCACAGCTAGGCCACACACACCTTGCTCAATAAGGAAAGCTATACTGGAGGGCAACTTACCATGTGGGCCTGGGGAGGAGGTGGAGGGGGTGCATAGTATTTCATCATTTCCATGAAGTTAGCAAGCTATGAAACACAGGGAGGGAAACAAGTATCACTGGGGGTGTAACTGACTATTTGAGGGAGATGACATTATACAAAGACATCTTAACTACAAGTAACTTTACTTGATCATCTCTTCCTAATTCAGTGACAGTTTGAATTTTTCTTATATACATAGAGTATAAGAAACTTGCATAAAATAAGAGATAACAGCAGATTAAACTGTTACACCTAAATTACTGAAAACACAAACCTAATGCCAAACCTGTCACCACTACTACCAATCACCTTTTAAATACAAATTTAAAAAGGAACTACAAAAATTACTTTACTAGAATGCATGCACTCATCTTTCTAATAAAAACAAGGAATCAAATTCACTAGCAATTAAGACATTACTGAAACC